TTTTCAAAAGGCATGTATCAAAAAAAATGAAAAAAACGCCTGGGGGTATTGGCCCACTCTACCTCCATGCCAAATTTCAAGTCATTTGGCTGAATGATGGCGGAGTTGAATCCCTTTGACTGTTTGGCAGGAGGAGAAGGAGGAGAAGGAGGAGAAGAAGAAACACCAGAGAACACAATATATTTCATCCATACCATGGTATGGACTGAAATATAATTAAGTGACAGTTAACAAATCAAGAATTACAGTACCTCGTGTTGTATTCTATATGTACGGCCCGGTCCGGAACCCGTTATCGAACGTTATTGCGGCCCGGGTATGATATAAATGGAGTTATACAGTGGAAAATATGGGTTGTACAGTCACACTGTGGAAAATTTGGGCGAGTCCAATTTCTTGTGTTGGATATTGCAGTTGAAACTTGTTTCCTAATGACTTCTACCAACACAGATGGACTTTTAAGATAACTTTTAACATTCTCACAGCTCCCTGAGACTGACCTGGTTTGGCGCCGCTGACGGAGGGTGGACGGGGGCTCTTCCCGCCAGCTGCTGTTGCCATGGCAACTTGCTGCAGGGTCTGGATGTCCCCCTCTTCCACTTTCACTTTCGAGAGCGGGGAGCTCCACTTCATCTTGTACCGGGGCCCGGCTGTCACTCGAGCACTGCTCTCAGATCTAGGGGGGTAATTATAATGATAACTTCATTCCACAACAATTGTACAATGTATGGCATGTACTTCATGTAGTACATACAGTTCTAACTACACTTACATAAGGCTAGCCTAACTAGTGCAAGAGTGGGTGGCTAGTATGGGATAGGTATGACCTTTTACAATCACTGGAGAAATTTCTAATGTCTACACAGTCTTTGATATATAACCCCACAATGTGTATACAATGTGTAGGAATTACATGTATATACATCAGTGCTGGGAATCCCTTTTTCTGCACACCTATGCTGGTGCAGGTAACATACAGTAGAAAGTTACCTGCAAAAGACAAATTTTACCTGCCTCTTTCAGAATCTAGGAAATATGGTATTATACTCATTAGGGACATCCCTCGGATAGGACGTTAAATCGAGCCACACCCCATGCACATTAAAGAACCCTCCGCACTTATCGAAAAGAGTAGGGGACCTTCCCGGTGTGAGTGGTTCAAACATTACAGTCTGGACAGGTCTTATAATGCAGCTTGTACAGGTACGTACATGTACAATCATGTACAAAACTGCTGTGTTACGCCTAAAGGTAGTTTACCGGGTATGTGAAACAAACATACACTGTACCTACCTTGGGAGAACAGTGGCACACACGAGCATGTCGTTCATCATGAAGAGCCTGCGAGACTTGGTCTTCTGCACCTCTCCCCTCTCGTTGTACACCTTTAAAGAGGAAAACCCACTGTAAGGACTGGCAGGGTCACGGGCATGGCACACATACTTCAACTGTGAACAGATTTCGTGCACAGATTCGGTAATGGAATCTTTATAGACAAAAAAGTCATGCTTTTCCTAACAAAATTAAGTTTACTATCATGAAAGTTCATCTGTGTTGGTAGTTACAAGTTTAAAGTTAAAACTTTTGGTCCAACACAAAAAATTCTCTCACCTAGAGCTTTTGACCAGTCACTCTGGTCTTCCTCGGGTGACTCTATGTGGTGTTGTGATACCTGTGAACTGGCAGCACATCCACATAGAGTCACCCGGACATTTTGTTTCACTTGACACTGTAAGGATTTTAGACACTGAACAAGACTATTTCTTGAGAGGGGTGAAGGAAGCCATATACATCAGAGCCCATCACCCTACATTGAACTGCGACAGGGGCCGACATCGTCTACCAGATACCTTTGACCCAATGTTGACGTCACACTTCAAAGAAGCCACGTGACAAGCTTCACTGGGTCAGTCTACTGAGGAAGACCAGAGTGAGTGGTCGAAAGCTCTAGGTGAGAGAATTTTTATGTTGGACCAAAAGTTTTAACTTTATACATGTAAGTACTAAGTAACTACCAACACAGATGAACTTTCATGATAGTATGGTACTTTTTACTTAATAATTCCAGTGAGTTACCTTTCCTTTTTGCCATCTCCTTCAGACAGTAGAAGATGACTCGTGCACCGAGACTGAAACCCACCAGGGTGACAGGTCTCTTCCCCTGGGGATAGGAAACTTTAGATAATAAAACATCCTCAACTTAAAACATTCCAGTGGGTAGAAAGCTTGCTTCACATTCTGGAGGTCATGGGTTCAAACCCCACCTGGGTCATTCCAAAGACATTAAAAATAGAAAACACTAGTACTGTAACACTACTTTATCAGTGCTTGGCATTTAACAAAAATGCAGTAGAATTCACATCACTTCCAGTGCAAGTCTCTGGCTGCAGCGCTTGCACAACTGTGTGGCCCAAGGGCTGTAGGAAAAGACATGGGCACTGCCCTATACACCAAAATTTGGATGGTACATGTATCTTAGGGAAGGATCTTAAGTTATATTTCATACAATCTTGTTGATTTACAAGTCTGATGATCATTTTCAATTTTTGTTATGATAATGTTACCTTCAACACAGCACTAGGATCATACAAATTTCATTCTATGGTGCCACTTATTTGTGATTTTATCTTTATTTTATTTGTTTAATCATTTTCAGAAAATGATAAACCATGGGTGACAATCCTTGCACCGCAGCATCAAGTACAATTACTAGACACTGTCATAGCGCCAACATCATTGCATGATCTGTAATTTAACACTAGTTATTGATGATGTTAGTTAGTAGTGATGGTTAGTTAACCTGTTGGTGAGTTAGCAGGACCTCTGCCAGCTGTTTGCCGACCTCCTCTGACCTCTGCAGACAGACGCTCCAGGGGTTGTCAATGACGTACGCGGCAGACATGAGAGACACGGGCCAGGTTAGCGCTGCCAGCAAACCTGTCAGTAACGCAGTTGTAGGAAAGGTGTAAAAACATGCCTGTAGACAGGGGGGTTCGGAAGAACCCCCTCACAAGGCTCAAAGGCCCACTTTTTGGTCCACTTTTTATCTAAAGGTCCAAGATTTTTCTTTAGATGGACTGATTCTTATCATCAGCGGGCCTGGAATCATATAAACATGCCTACTTTGTCATTGAATAAAAAGTTATCTCTGCCTTTTTGTCTCTCAAAAACGCCTGCCAGGAAATGCCATTTTAGAAGGTTCATTTTTCAAAATTTTCCGGGGGTATTCGGCGCTCGCTGGTCCCTCACACAATGAGAAGAACCCCCCCCCCCCTCTGCAAAATCCTGGTTACGGGCATGAAAAAGTAAGACGTTTGGATGTCAAACAGACAGTGTAGGAAAGGTGTAAAAGGTAAGGCGTTCGGATGTTATATTTTACATCTTACATTTTTTACACTGAGTCAAGATCACATTCGCTTGAAATTTCAGAATTTAAAAAAAAGTAAACTGGAATAGTCTCCACCAGACTAACTACACTGGCTGAATTATAGTAAAATCTAGATAACTTAGAGTTAATTTGCCAGAGGAATTTGGCCACCAGATTTGCATACATTGTCAGTAAGTTACACAATGCAAAAATTGGTAAATATATAAAAGACTATTGTTATCAGCCCTACTCGATTGCAACACTATATCAAAGATTTATGCTAGCCCTTGTTGTTTTAGTAGTTATGATTTTAACTTTTATTACATACTTGTTGCATGTGAGCACTGTGTGTGTGCTATGTTCAATGTTGTAACATGTACAATCAGCGTGCAATTAAGTCCTTCTTCCTCAAACAAAAAGCACATTTCCTACCAGCTAGTACCGTGTACTTCAGGGCCTCCTGTGCAGCAGTGGTCACCAGACTACTGACTATGTATTCGAAGGCTCGGCCCAGGCTCAGCAGGTACTTGGCCTCCCATCTCAGACAGTACTGCTCCTTAGACTGCAGTAGGGTCTCCCAAGGAGCAGAGAAGTTGTCTTGAAGAGGAAAGATGTAGGAGATAAGCAAGACATGTGTAAGGCTGTTCCAATGAAAGCAGATGTGAGCGACATCAAATCAGAGATGGGACTAAATTAAATGGCCATATCATGTTTTTATTTGTCCTTAAAGTTTGTTGCAATTTGAACAAAGACAAATAAACAGAATTTGTCTCTTGCATCATTGACTCAGAGATAGGAATTGCATCTTTTCACAGTAGCACAAAAAAAAAGAGTTACATGTAATTTGGAACATCTTGGTTGAGTGCAATTATATTTAGGTACAGTATCTGTACCTTAAAGGCATCCAATGCGATTTCAGGTCAGCAAAACTAGAAATATTCTGAATAAGGCAATCTTTGTGATATTGAAACATTTTGCTTCACATTAGCACATTTAAAACAGAATTTCATACTTAAGGCATTTAAAACTGCAGAAACAAACCCCAAGATGAGTCCTTTATTTTCCAGCTGGCACCCTAAAAATCAGCCAAGGGCCCCTCCAGTAACCATTTTTCAACAGCATTTTGGGATTTTTTCTCCATGAGGGTCAATATACATTGGGATAGTGTGGATTCAACTCAGTATGTAGATAAATGACTAGAATATTGCCTTTGAAAAGTCGGGTTTTCAAGCCCTAAAAACTGCACTGGAGGCCTTTAATTGATAATACTGTTAAGTCATGTATTTGGTTTTGGACAAGAAAGAAATTTGCTAAAGAAATTTTAAAGCAACTGGCACACAGATAAACCATTGAATGAAATTCTATTTACCTGGCTTGTCTGACCGTAGCCAACCAGAGACAGCGATGGTGATGTGGAGTTGGTTCCCTTCAGTCAGTGGTTCAAACTCAAACTGTTCTACTGCTCCAACTCTCTTCTTCATCTTGTACCCTAGGAAAGGAAACGGTACCTTTCATCAAACCAGTCAGTAGTCACTCACTGACGAATAGTCAGTAGGCCTATACAGTGTACAAAATACTTTTTTGAACCAGGTTGCCCAGTACCTACAGCAAAAATTAGGTTGCCCATCAGAATTTTAGGTTGCCCCACCTATAAGTTACTACTTTCCTCAAATTGAGGAATGTTACATACGTAAGCCTTTGACAATATCTCTAACAGTTAACTGATACTAAAAATTAAAAAGACATCTGACGGATACAGTGGTGCAAGCCAAGTGGGCATGATTTTTTTTTGGGGGGGGGGTCTATTCTTAAAATTCAGGTAGCACACTGGGCTACCTAGATTCAAAAATAGCTTGCCTTAAGTAAAATTTGGTTGCCCGGGGCAACTGGGCAACCAGGTATTTTGCACGCTGCTATAGGAAAAACTGTTATGTTCCCACTGAAATTTCTTTGACCTAATTTCACACAAAGTTACCATAATTAGAAATAATGATGTACAAAACAGATTCAATCAAAGCATAAGTTCGTGTTAAGACCTCCTGATATAATAACCACAATAAAGAAATGGAAACTGAAGAGGTATGGCCATGTGTCACGGTCATTATGACATACTGAAACCATTGTGCAACAGTACAGGGAGGAAGAAAAATTTTTCCTGGGCACTACTAGACAACGGAAGAAATGCAGGTTAACATCATAGAATGGACTAGCATGTCACTACCGGTATTAAGTAAAACAAAAAACCAAGAGGGTGAAAAGAACTGGTTGTCAGATAATCTGTGGTGCTCCTGAAGAATTAGACTAAGGGAGGAGGACCTGCATGCGTTATATGCCCTTTTTCATAAGGCATAATCAGGCCTTCTCAGTCTTCGTAATACGTACATGTAGGTAGCCACACAAAATCATTGTAATTCATAATCAGTACACTAGCCGTAACACGTAACTGTTTGAAATCAGCTCTGAGAATTTCATGTAATTTGTAATCACTAACCCCCCATGCAGGCCCTCAGGGATAGATGGGAGACCTTAAACTATGGATAAAACAGCTCCCCCTACCTGTGAGGCCAGCTCCTGCAGCACCAAATAGTGACGTGATGACTGCTAGTCCGGCGGTGGAGCCCAGGACTGCAGCACTGGTGCCACCGATGATGGCTCCTGCCCCGGCCGCCACCAGGGGAGCAGCTAGTCCTCCTGTTAGTCCTGAAAAATATGATTTGCTTAAGCCCGGAGTCCAGCCTTGTTAGCTTTATTTAACAGGGCTGGACTTTTGGCTAAATTTGCTTATGTTATCATAAGTAATTAGGCCACACCAATTTAATTTCTTGGTTAACGGATTCACCGCTTCATTTTTTTCCGATTTACAAATAAAAATAAAAATTGAGAATCAACTGCAAAATGCTCATATTTTGCCCTGAACAGATGAAAACAGTCCTTTTGTTACTACTTGTTACAGTCATTCCATCCTTCAATGCAATGGTATCATTAAAAGTTCAAAAGTCATTGTTTAAATTTTGAACCAGCCTGGTGTGTTGACTTCATGGCTCCTATCGTACCATTTGGGGCCATAATAGGATGCCTAGGCCTGTTTTTATTTATTTATTTATTTAATTCGATTGCGACGATACAATACCCTGGCCACCCAGGCAGCATACATGTAGGTGATTTCGGGCGCCAAACAATACAAAGATTAAACATACACAATAACATACTAATACAGTAAACTAACAAGTAAAGATTAAGCTAAAATCAATCAGTTATCAATATACAATACAACCAAGCATAATAAAGTACTCAATCAAGATAATAATAGCAATTAATGTTTTGGAGGTCAGAGGTCAAGGGCAATTGGATATAATACAGTATGTGAGGAAATATATACATGTATAACGTAAGATTGTAAAAGGTTAACTTATGTGGTACCACGGGAAGGGCCATCTAAACGTTTTGTGGTGGAAATAAATGTTTCAAATGCCTGTTTTTATTTTTATCATTTTATTCAACCGCCCACTCCGTTATTTTTCTAGAAAAATCTGTTAACCAAGAAATTAAGTTGGTGTGGCCTTATCTCTGCAAATGTTGGTACAAAAGGTAAAGATTGTCCCATAGCATTTTAGAGGCCATAGCTATAGGCAGTCCACTATATCTATCTAGGCCACAGTATTAGAAGGTGGAGCCCATCCCTCTCCTTCCACTGCAGTTTACCTCCCCAGCCAAAGTCAGGTACCCATTTTATGACTGTAAACCAGTGACCTCTTGATTTTGTGTCTGCTCGCCAAGCCTCTCAACCATTCATGATCAATGCCACTTGGAATTAACTGGTTGGTTGGTATATTTACTGGTTGTTGATTTATGAATAGAAGATACTAGTAGTGGCTACCACTTCTCTATGAGAAGCTCCAAGTTTATGAACAAATTTGCAAACATTGTACGTTGAATACGGTGGAAGACGAAACACATTTTATCTGAAATTGTACCCTCTATAGCAATGAACGAAATGAACTCTTTGATGTAGCCCCCAAATTCTACCCAAACTTTCACACATATTCAAATGAAAAGAAAACTACTCTCCTCTTAACATCTGAAAACCCACAAATTACAGAAAAAGTGTGATTCTTTAACTTGTCTTCCTCTGTCTTCAAAAAAGAAGTCAAACCCAGTAGTTTTTAATAGTAGTTTCTTAGTAGTTAGTAGTGCTATGTGTAACATCTGTGTCCATAATATCACCAGGGTCCATAATATCGCCACCTTGAGAAATAGTGTGCTTAAGATATTTTTACTGCAACATACCCTAGGTATGTACATTTGATGTGTGAAGGAGTGCATACCAAAAGTATGTTGCAGTAAAAATATCCTTAGGCACACTATTTCTCAAGGTGGCGATATTATGGACCCTGGTGATATTATGGACACAGATGTTACTAATTATCTGCTTTTATACCAAAAGTTTCTTCTGTTCATGCAATTAGCCATCGGGCATCATAAAACTCAATATATTAATGGTTTCAGGGTTTGGCAGATGTACCTATGAGAGTGCCTCCAACCACTGTGGCCAGTCCAATGGTGACAAACCTCTTCCTTTGTTTCCTCTTCTTTTGCTTCTCTCTCTCCTTCCTTTCTTCCCTATGATGTAATACCACGTAGATGAGAGAAATTAGACACAGCATCTTCAAATGCATACATCTTCACATGAACATCTAATGTCTGGTATGGAATATAAAATGGGATATAATATTAAGTAAATACGCAAGCACAGAAAAGCCCTACTGGTTGTAACACATAGCCTTGAACAACTGTTAATGTCCTAGATGCGATGCTCCTCCGAACTCCACATCTATGAAAAGCTGCCCTGATGGCCAAATAGTGCAATTTCTAGTGTAAATAAGGACACAAACAAATGTTTTAAGTTGTAAAATGATTTTTTTTTGCTTGTCTGTATCTGTATAGCTGGTATAGTATAACTACCCTTTAGCATAACACACCAGCTTTGCAGGCATGTGGCATGGCAGCAGCTGGCTACATTACACCGAACAACTTGTTACACCTAACCTTTGAGCATCTAACTCTAAACACTGTTTAAAGCTATGTCTGGGGAAAACCCTGAGGTTTTTGAGTCCCACTCACTCGCTGAGTTCAAACTGATGTTCCTTGAGACTCTTGACGAGAGATTCCTCGTAAGTCTCGACCTCCTCCCACGGCACGCGCAGGTACAGCGCCACCTGCTTCAGCAAGCACCTGGTACGGGCATCGTAATCACCTGGTGGAGAAAAATTTACATATTCCTGAAAATATGTTTAAAGTTAAAATTTTTGTTCCAACACAAAATATTCTCTCACCTAGAGCTTTCGACCAGTCACTCTGGTCTTTCTCAGTAGACTGAACCAGTGAAGCTTGTCACGTGGCTTCTTTGAAGTGTGACGTCAACACTGGGTCAAAGGTATCTGGTAGACAATGTTGGCCCCTGTCGCAGTTAGATACCTTTGACCCAGTGTTGATGTCACACTTCAAAGAAGCCAAATGACAAGCTTCACTGGGTCAGTCTAATGAGGAATACCAGAGTGACTGGTCGAAAGCTCTTGGTGAGAGAATTTTTTGTGTTGGACCAAAATTTTAACTTTAAACATGTAACTACTATTAAAGTACCAACACACTCAGATGAACTTTCATGATAGTATTCCTGAAAATAGTTTCATCAGGTTGGTATAAAGCATAGGATATAGGGGTTTTCTTTTACACAGTTAATACTGTCTCTATCTTACGTAGCTTATGTTTCTGTGTCTATCAGACACGTTCCTTAGAGCTTCTGACTGGAGCTCTGCTTCTCACCGCAATACGTAGCCAATGTAGGTGGCGCTTTTGTGTCGAAAACGCATCCTAAATGTGGCCGAGTTTGTCTGGTTTGGGTACAGGCCCAGACCAGAACCTAGTGTACTTAAACAAGCTTGGGAAGCTATGTACAGTATAAATTATATAATATATCCAGCTGCCAACAAAATGTTTATATTTTTTTGTACTAGCTTCATAATTTCATTAGACTAAGTGCTTATCATTGGATCAACTTGGTTTATGAAATTATGTTGAAAGGATCAAAAAAGGGTATAAAAAATTCAAGTAAAAGGGATGAAGTAGGTAAAATTCCATACCTTGGCTGCCTGAGATAGCATTACAGATCAGAAGGGGAAGTCAGAGGACAAACTTTCAGATGGGAAACATTTTGCAAATGGATGGGATGGAACAGAAACAGGCATCCAATACCCAAACTCAGATTCAGTTTTTTGCAAAGGCCAAAATAAATGTTATAATATATATCCTTGAAGATGTGACCCATACGATTCATTTTCCACTTTACATGCTCTAGTCTTTTTTCACATACCCTGCTTCAGAAGTAGTAATTTGGATAGCTTTCAATGGTAGAAATGGCATGGTGAATTATCATTAAAAAAAATCCAAGATGAAAGATGGCAATATCACACTTTGGCTTGTTGAGATAGTCTACTACTACTACTACTAGTACTTGTTTTCAAATCACCTTATTTATTCATACAGACACATGTGTAGTAAGATACTGTTTATATATATATATATAAGGCCACACCAATTTAATTTGTTGGTTCTCGGATTTTTTCAGAAAAAATATGAAGCGACAGGGCGAAAAAAAATAAAAATAAAAACAGGTCTAGGCATCCTATTATAGCCCCAAATGCTACAATATGAGCCATGAAGTCAACAAAAAAGGCTGGGTTAAAATTTAAAGTATAAATTTTGAACTTTTAATCAAACCACTGCATTGATAGATGGGAAAAACTGTAACAACTAGGAAGAAAAGGAATTTCCTCAACTGTTGGGGGCAAAATATGAGCATTTTTTAGTTGATTCAGAACCAGAATCTTTTTTTTGTTGTTTTTTTTGCAAATCAGAAAAAAATGAAGAGGCGAATCCGAGAACCAACAAATTAAATTGGTGTGGCCTAAAGAGGCATTCAAAAATGTGTTTGGGCAAAAACATTTAGATAGAATACTACATTGTATGTCTTTCGAATTCTATAAGGCATCCATACATGGATACATCCATACATACATACATGTATGTGTAAAATTATAATTATATACTCTAGTAGTAAATAGGTTCAGTAACCGGTACTCATGTCACACAAACGATGTTGAAATTATAACACATAAAATGATGCCATACCTTCTCTTAAGCCAAATGTTAGTAGATCCTGTGAAAAAGTGAAGAAAAAAATCACAAAGAATATAATGGATGACGTGTGGAATAAGTGAGCACTGACATTTCAATCAAAGGCACTACATCTACCATCTTGCAAAAAGGAAGATGTTTAAAGTGTTTTAAGCATCAAACAAAAAGTTGGGATGAAAAAGAACTACTAGTACACGGTATACATATGTATATGATAAATAGAAGACAGTGAATTAAACTGCAAACCCTTAATTATTTTTCATCCACTTGTCATGTCAAGCTTGATTATTTGACAGTATGACTATGCAAAAAATGTATACAGATGCTTATTCAATATATATGTATATCATTCCTCACTCACAAAACAAATTACTTATTATTCTAATTATTTTGCAATAGGAGGGAAAAATGTTTTTCACTGTGTTGTCAACTACCATAATTCTAGGGTACAGTAATATTTATTTCATGTATTCTTGGCTTGGCTTCGCTCTCAAAGATTTTTAGGGATCCTTTCCACTTCTGGTGCACATATTACTATCATGGAAAATGCACACCAGTGTACAAAATGCATTCAAAGTGTAATGAATTTGCAGTTAAGACTAGAGGATGACGAAAAATTGCAAAAGCAAAAACTTCAAAAGATTCAAGATTTACAGTACTATTGGCTCCACCCCTGAGGTGATGCCAAAAAACTAAATTTATGCAGCAAGTTTAAACTGTAATTTCCAACACAAGAAATTGGACTCACCCAAATTTTTGACTGTACAACTCCAGTCTTTGTCAAGGAATGAACAATCCACCGCTTCCTTGACGTCACGCAAGAGGCCATCTACATCAGGGCATTACAACCAACCCTCAACAGAAACGGGGGGCGCCACAGACTTTCTGCAACCTATGATCCACTGCTCACGGAGTCACATGTGTTATCTGCGTGACGTCATGGAAGCGGTGGATTGTTCATTCCTTGACAAAGACTGGAGTTGTACAGTCGAAAATTTGGGTGAGTCCAATTTCTTGTGTTGGAAATTACAGTTTAAACTTGCTGCATAATGACTTCTACCAACACAGATGGACTTTCAAGAAACTTACTTGCACCAGGGGAAAGGCACTTGTTTCCAGGTATGGTTCCTTCACTAAGGTGTCCACAAGAGAGGGGAGACATTCACTGCCCATGCCGTGTTGGAATGCCTCCATGGACGCCTCAACAGACTCCGGAAGTTCCAGGTATTCCCGAAGGGAGAGTAGGAAGTTCTTCTTCCACTGCCTAGATATAAATGTACGAAAGACCAAAGGTACAAGTTCAACAAGGCTTCATCGGGTCGGTTTTCACCATTCAAAACCCATTTTCACCGTTCAAAACCCAATTTTTCATCATTCAAAACCCAATTTTCATTCTTCAAAATACAATTTTTCATCATTCAAAACCCAATTTTCATCCTTCAAAATTCAATTTTTCATCGTTCAAACCCCAATTTTCACCCTTCAAGACCCAAAAGAAAAGAATATAAATCATATCAAAATGATCAATGAATTCTTTATGCTAACATATGTAACGTTATGTACATAAAAATGATGATTATAAGGAAGCATTATTATGATATTATATCATGTTTTTCAGACTTAAATATATCAAAATCATGATTCAATTTTAATAATGCATAATATTCCATACCTGTCATATTGAGTGTCAAACAACTGGGCCATAGAAATGGCACATAGAGCAGCATATGAGAAGTGTGCTGCATCCGATATCTTCTTGACAATAGGCTTAACATCAAGGTGTGATGGTCTTTCTATCACTTGTCTATTGTCTTCTGTAGTAGTGTCATCACTGTCGGTATCTCCTACAGTCCTAGACAACTGCTGGTCGTTTTCTGGTTCAGTTTTTGAGTCTTCCATCTCAGAAATATCAGTAGAAGTAGATTCGTTTACTAGCTGTGGCTGGGATAAAGTGCTTTCCATATTTTTGGTTTGATCAGTTTTGCTTGGCACTGCGTTTTTCGTGGCATCTTCTGATGATGATTCGTCAATGGAAAAGTGACTTGTAACAAGAATAAGGTCTTGTTGATCGTCGTTGTTTGTTTCAGTGGTCATGTCATTGTTTCTAACAGAGTTGTTTGTGGGTTCTGTTGGTTGAGATGCTGGTTCAAGATCGTTGTCTATTCCTGGAGGAAAAAAATCAACACATTTCGATTACATTAATTTCTGACAGCATATGCTGAAAATGAATTTAGACTTCTTACTAGTACTTGCGTGGATAGAAACATGTTTAGAGTTTAAAGTTACTTGTCTAGCACTATCATAGATGCTTGTTAACATATTATTATTAACAATTTTTATTTTATCATGAACCATAAAATACATAATACTTCTACTTCTAGAAAAAAATAAAATAACAGAAAATAATTTCTTATGTGCAATGTTGTAAACCATACATTCTTGTCACACCTTACCTTAGTGAAATTATATTAAAAGCTTCCTTTTTTTACTTATTTATCTTATTACATCTCACCATATGGGTAAAAGTAGATTGCAGAATAATTTTTATCAAAATCTAGTTTATCATCCATATGGTAAAAATTAAGACACATGGTATACGTTCAATTTCTTTGCGTGCAGAAAAAAACTATGGAAATTACTGAAATTGCAGGGAAACAGTTAACTCTAGGAGTAGTCATTAATCGTTGATATTAGTCATTTTGGGGGCAAAAAAATTTCAACTTTTTTTTCAGCAAGCGAGTTATAAAACTTTACACATGCCAACGAGTATAAAATTGCGAATTCAACAAGAATTTCGAATCAACTTTTACTGAAACTGCTACAATAGCTGGTTAAGATGATCCTAGCAATTTCTTTCTCACCGTTGTTTATTTTTCTTTCCTGGATGTCTTCAAAAGAGGAAGATTCTTCCGTTTTTTCACCCGGTGGATCAGCTGGCTCGGCCATTTGGCTGGACTAATCTACAACTTATCAGGGAGGGGTTAAAATTCATTCTAAGATTTATTTTTCATCATATTAAGCATGTAAGTAGCTTTATGCAATGATTTATGTTATAATTTTCTACTATATAGATGTTATATTGTATATTGAATAATATTAGGGTATGTGAGATGATATCAAGAAAATTAAATTAACTACACTTACCTGTCTTCTTGTTGGTATCGTCGTACTGAGTTCCGGTACGTTGACCTTTAACCCGGCTTATTTTCCCCGGGAAACAGATGTTCTGTTGCATATACCGTCCGTCTGCTAAACAACCGACAAAATGTCGAATTTCTGAGTAATAACGAGCCGTTTTTGGTGTTTTTAGGGGCTCAACATATTTCTATGTACACCGGGAAGGAGAGGTAGAGGAGACAAGTTTTGAAGTGGTGAGTTTACGTTGTAAATTTGTCGACAATCGTTCGAAGATAAATTTATGATCATGACACTTTGGAAAAATGATTACCGACGATGATGCAAGTGTTGATAATTTTTTAAGGGTGGCTATTTTCTTTTAGATAGACCAGTATATACGCACCCGTTTTAATAGGACAAGTAAGTGATCTTTTTTATGTGTAAATTATGTGATATTATGTAAAATATCTTAGTTATGTACAATTGGTTATAAAAAGTAACGGTTAACTTAACGTTAACGTTAGATGTAACGTTACAATTTTTGTGGGTGGTGCCGTACTTCTAATAAGTACCATGCTGTTGTGTTGTAATAACAAGGTGAATGATTATATAATATTCACATTTATGATAATTTGTGTTTACGTGTTACTTTTACAATTATAATACTTACTTTGGTGTGGGTGATTATGATTATCATATTTTTCTTCTTCATCTCATACTAAAAGGTTGACAGGATAATGATTTTTTTCAAAATAGAGTCCCCCCCCTTGAAATCATGAAATGGAATAACCCTTAGGTGTGACTCAACAATGTCTTTCAAGGTGTGCCATTTTATTACAAAGGATTGACCTTCAGTGTCAAAATACAATTAACAGCTACATGTACTTCATCATTAAATTGTGGGAAACGTTGGTTCAGAGGGAAGTTAAAAATTCCGTAGGAGACCCCCAGCACCACTCAAGCCAAATCAATGGACCTAATTCAATTAATATGAGATTTAGTAAACGACAGGACAGACAAAAATTGGAACTGGGATTCAATAATAAAATGTAAACGAGGGGTTCAGCTCAGAACCAAGAGGTCCCAGGTTCAAATCCTGCAAAGTCAAAGTCACCAACCTTGTGCCCTTGGGAAAGGCACTTTACAAGACTTTCCTCACTTCGCTCAGGGGAAAATGAGTTATGCCAGAATGATCATTATCATGATCGTGGGCATTAAAGGAAAACAAACAAACTAGAAAGATAACATTTGCAAAGCAAATGCATAATGTTTGCTTTAAAATATGGTCTGCTCTGGTAATTCTTACTCAAACACATTCATATATATGGTCAGACAGGAGTATAAATCCCTCCTACTATAAAACTGCAACATGATGTAACCCGACACTAGTTACCATGGTGAGAGATGTCAACAAATCAGATCATTGGCCAGGTCAGAGGTCAGTGTTTGGAACTGAAGAAGAGGAAATGTAGCAAAGACAATATGTTTCCTTTGGTAAGCATAAAATTTGCAGCTAGGATTCAATAATAAAATGTAAATGTAGTGAATTTTTTTTTCTATCTCAACATAGGTAGTGTGCTAGATATCCCATCATGTCTCGGAGAGCCAATAAGTCAGTGAAGGGTCCCGCGACCAAGAGCGACCAGGAGCGGAGGAGAGAGGAGCGAGCGACGAAGGCCGCGTACCGGCGGGAGAGAAAGGCCAGGTCGTACCTCGAGGACGATGAGAACTTTGCGGGGTTCGCGAATCAGCTGGCCGTGATGGGGCTAAAGATACGGGACATCCCCGGAGATGGGTAAGTTGTCTTTTTGCCGACTTTTATCAGCTTTGTCCAGTGTTCTCGCCAGGCCTTTTGTGCATGGGGGCCCCCTATGCTGTGATTTGGACCCCCTATGCTGTGATTTGGACCCCTATGCTGTCTTTCAAGCAGCATAGGGGTGTTTTTTGGGGCGGGACCTTCATAAATCTTGCAAAAAAAATGAAAATATAACTTTAGATTGAAGCTATAGCAAAGGGAAAACCTTAACTTTACAAAATCTGTCCCCCAATAAGTGAGAAATAGTGTCTCATAGGGGGTTATGAGTTTCAAAATTTTTAGGCTCGCAAGTCGCGTAAGTTGCCCTTCTGTACTTGACCCCTTGTTTCTGTACTTGAAGGTTCTATATTCAACAACTAGTAGCTTTTTACACAATAATTATTCATTGTTATGAAGTATGTATGTTATAGTATACTGTATATCACTTTATATTCACGGTACCTAGCAAGGTTCGCGGTCTGAGAAAAATGGACATGTTCGCAGAACTATACATTCGTGGTGGTGGCAGGTACAACCAAAAGAAAGTCAGTGAATTATCTGAGCTTAGTGACCGTAAAAACCGAAAATATAAAAGTACAACTGTACCAAGGAAAAATTCGTAACTAATAGTAACTCTTGCAGGAGACTTTACTTATCGTTTACAAGTTGAAGAGTGGTTTGAAACCTGTGTTGTAGGAACTGTTTGTTCCGAGCGTTGAGCGATCAGCTGGAGGGTCACAGTAACAACCACCTGCAGCACAGAAGGGAGGTGGTGGAGTACATCATACAGCACAGGCAGGATTTTGAACCTTTTGTAGAGGACGACGTCCCGTTTGACAGACATGGTAAGTTGTTAGTTAGGCCACACCGACTTAATTTTAAAGATGACATCCACGCGCGCATTGATTTTCGTCTGTTCTCAAAAACAAACAAAAAATCACGTCTGGCCTGGCTCTAGGCCTGGGTTAAGTCCATGGTAGTTAGCGACATTACGGAGCCGGTGGTAACCCTGGAGGATGGCACCAAAGATCCACGACTGAAGAACTCAGTACATACGTACAGTGCCGATTCATAAATTCCACAAAAAGCTACCACTTGCCGGCTTGTAGTGTACATCGCTATGTACTGCTGGAAATTCACAATACCAGCTTGGTAATCCTGTGGTTTAGTAGCATTTTTATTTTTGGCCAGAATTTTTTTTTTTCATTCACCCGCGCGCACTAGTTTGGGGGTCTTTAGAGGATGTCATCTATAAAATTAAGTTGGTGTGGTCTTACTTGTGTTTTAATACAAAGTCTCACCCTTTTTCCTAAACTTGGATTTGGTCTCCTTTTCTTGAGCTTGAAGTTTTTCCAATTGTTCTCGTTGTTCTGTGTGTTTAAGGAAGGAAACAAAGAAAGCAAATCATGAAATGAACTCCAACATTTGAGTTGCATTTGAGTTGCAAATGTCAAATTAGTTGCTTCATCCTAACCTTTTCCCATTTCCTACAGTTGCAGAGTTAAGGAAACATGGCACTTACGCTGGAAATGATGCCATTGTTGCCTTTGCCAGACTACATGGTGTGAATGTTGTCATCCACCAGCTGAACAAGCCACTGTTTCATGTAGGTGAAGCTATGGACTATTTTGTGTCCATTTGTGTTTTTATTTGTTCTTTTGCTAATGATATGAAATTTGAAGTTCGTAGATCGATTACAAAGATGAGAATTTCTAGCCATAAATTGAATATAGAATTAGGAAGATATAAAAAAAATCCCCCACGACCAGAGGTTTTGTCCATTCTGTCCCAATGATATTGAAGACGAACAATTTTATTTTGAATTGTACACTATATAATGATAAACGCACAAAGCTGTTCAACCTTCTCTCCGCTTGCTCAACAGAATTTGTTACATTTCATGCTATAGATAAATTTAATTTCGTCCAAGAAGGCAATAACCCTTACTGTGCACAAATAGGTAAATATATCAAAGAATGTTTAGACCTTAGAACAAGTAGTATTAGTTGACCCATCTATTGTTTTGTATGTAGGATAATTTTGTTGTACCATGTATTATGTACATTTGTCTGTATATCTACATGTCTTAGACCTTACGAAAATTCGCTGTACTTTTGTTGTGTCAATAAAAGTTCTCTATGAAAGTGTAATAATACTTTGTAAATTATAGTACAAAAAGGTACTTCATGGCCACACCATGTATGTAAATTCAAGATTTGTGGCTTTTGAAATGAAGCACTAACTTAAGACAGGGCTGATAAACCACACAAGATGCTGTACTCATGATCAGTCATAACACCAGATCTAGAGTTCAACTATCATCTTTTGAGAATTTGGAAGGATGCCTACTTGCTGACTTGACCTTGTGTCCAAACCCACAGGTGAAGGGTAGTGACCGGAGGGACTCTCCAGAGCTGCACATCTCGTACCATAACGGTGATCATTACTGCAGCGTCAGGAGGGCAGCCGACAACTCTGACAGACCCGCAAATGTCAAAATTGCAGTGAGTACGAAAAATACACATCCCTAACAATATGCAATTTCAGATGATGCTCAAAACCTTACTTTAGTTTGTCTATGTCTGAAACTATATACTAAGTACTAACATACAGGTATCTACAATTTTCTCAGTCCAGAAGCTGGTCTCTTGTTTCAACTAATATGCCTTGGCAGGCAACACAGTCACAATAGCTTAATTGTTTCACCCTCAACTAATACAAGTCAGTAAAAACCCACTGGTTCCGGGCCGGGGTTCGAACTCACGACCTCCCGGGCACCAGTCAGACGCTCTAACCGCTCAGCTGAAAAGGTCTAGACCCCTCGGCCGGGTCAGTTGGAAGCGCCTATAACCACCCCACTGTTACGCTGTGTTGTCATTATTTTTTATGTTAACTTGTCATTTTTGAGTCTTGTCTTGGATACCATCAACGTAAATCTGCTTGCTTATGTTAGTGTATACCATAAGATAGCATGAGGACTTTAACTGAAGTTAAGTTTCTGTTGTTCCTCCGATAGCCAGGAGCAGGGGAAGATAGGGGACGGCACAGACAAAACGATCGTCATACCAACAGGCCAGACTACAGATCAGACTATCCCATCATCAGTGACTTCACAGCTGAGGAACTGTCCTTCCTGAGTGAAGACAGGACAGACATGGAGGAGTTTGTTATGAACAGTACAGGCTGTCAGGTGAGCAAGCACTGATTTTGGCAACACCAAAGGGGTGGGGACACTCTTTGTGGCAGTGCAATTGTTCAGGACTGTCCTCCCTGGCTAATTTGGGATTTTAACTTTTAACTTTTTAAATTTTAATCGTTTTCTCACAAAGAAATTTAGAAAGAACTGTAGTTGTACTGAATATTGATACCTGGGTACAAAAGGGTTATGAATATGATTTTATGGACCATATGGATGACGTCATCACATTTTATTGCCCCAAATGTAATTATCTATAAAGTTATAATATAGCACTTTCATATTGGTACAAGTAACTGCAATAAAAGTATGATTTTGTGATGGTCAAAGCTACAAACGTACGTTTGCACAAATTGATATCTACTAATTAACCATAGTTATTAGAGAATAACCGAATTGCCTAATTAAAATCTAGTTATTCTCTAATAACTATGGGAGAGGGGAGGACAGGGAGCCAGGGAGGACTCCTTAAAGGAAACGAAATTACAAAATTTCAGCAATTCATTCTTGTATAGAATAGACTATCATCAAGTTTGCATATAGCATAGAGGCTTTTTGAAGTTATCAATATTTTAAAAATGAGACTGTTCGTAATTCGTAGACTTGTTAAGTGAATTTTTAGGATATAATTTCGGACTGTTTTGAGTTTCAGAAACCTCAAAGATAAGTGCTGATGTTGCCTACATGATACATTGCAGGACTTGCGACTTATCCGTGAAACTCTAGAAGACCATCATTATGATTTGGAGAGCACAGTAGACTTCATCACACAGATCATGTTCCTCAACAGTAAGTCTCTTCAGTTAATAAATTTGCTTTGTCGATATCAAAAATGCATGAAAACTGTTGATGCTTCTATATATTCATCAGAGTACTGTGTTTTATGGTTTATGATTGGATGGGGTATCATAATGTTTTCCAATTTTTTTATATTTTCTAAAAGTATTTACATAACATTCTATAGGAAGTACCAAGCAATTATAGTGTGCATTATAGTATTCATTGTATGATTATCCAAAATGCTTGGGATACACTGTTAGTAGCTTTCCTACTATAGCTTTTAGACCCAATATCACAGTCCAGGTCAAAATGGTATCAAGAAAATTTCAACAGAGAAATGTTTGTTTGTTTGTTTATTTGCACAACAGCAATAGGACACATAATACACTAATAATAGATAAAACATGTGCAGGAGGAGGGGAAAAGCTTATTTAGCTTGTGCTAAGCCCTCCTCTATACTAACTAAAACTAAACATAATTGAGTTGAAATAATACATACATACATAAGGAATTGTTATGAAAATAATTCAGACATGGGCAAAATGATACAGTAACAAATAATGAAACAATAGTAACGTTATACATAAATTGAGATGAAATGAAAGTGATATGAAATAATACATGCATACATAAGGAATTGTTAGCAAAATAATTCAAACTTAGGCAAAATGAACCATTGAAATATAAACTATATAAGAACATCTGTCACAGTTTTTTGTCCTGTCAAACTCCTGCAGGTGAAAATGCTCCTGATATGCCAAAGAAGCTCGCTAGGAGTCCCTCCTCGGACTACAACATTAACCAGAGAACAGCGAATTCCCACCTCTGGTCGGAGGACGGCACCGCGAACAGGGTCTTCGGTGGTACGGGGAGCGTCAGAAGTACCAGTAGTCACTCCAGCAGTGGTGGCAGTGACAGCAGTAGGGGGGCAGGGGGAGGGGCGAGGGCGAAGGTACACTCACAACAGGTGAGTCAACCTGAGGATTTGTACATGACTTGTACATATGTATCTGATTGTGAATAATTTCATCAGGTTGGCAAGCAACTGGAAAACAGGTACAAAAACCGTTTATGCTAGGCCACACCAATTTAAGTTCTTGGTTAATGGATTCGCCTGCTTCATTTTTTTCTGATTTGAAAATTAAAAATAAAAATTCAGAATCAACTTCAAAATGCTCATATTTTGCCCTGAACAGTTGAAAACAGTCCTTTTCTTCCTAGTTGTTATAGTTATTCCATCTTTCAATGCAATGGTATCATGAAAAGTTCAAAATTCATTGTTTAAATTTTGAACCAGCATGGTATGTTGACTTCATGGCTCCTATCGTACCATTTTGGGCCATAATAGGATGCCTTGGCCTGTTTTTATTTTTTCGCCCGCCCGCTCCATAATTTTTCTAGAAAAATCCGTTAACCAAGAAATTAAATTGGGTGTGGCCTTATGGTGCATTCTCCATGCAATGATTGAGTATTTATGCTCTATGTAGAGACCATTTTAGGGTCCATGTAGTCTCTATTGGTTACTGGGTTTGGCAGCAGGATGGTTATTAAGAGTGTATGTATTAAAAATTCAATTCCAGAATGTGGTAACAGATATGGATAATAGATTTTTGAAGAAAGTTACCGATGATGACTTTTTTTTTTTTAATTTTTTGTTATTTTTCTTCGCAGAAGCAACCTCAAACTAAGGTACGCAGGGGACAGGTGAGATTGGAGAAGAAGAAACGACAAGAGGAGAGACACAGACAGAAAGTAGTCGGTAACAGACAGCAGGATGAGCAAAACGAAGATGCCAACACAGTTCTCGTTAAAGACATGAGCTTACTCAGCATATAATATAATAATGAAGCCATCCAGAAACAATGTACATGTATAGGTTATAATATAGGAGATTTGAGTCTGTCTCTTCTACCATCTCTGGCAAAAATTAAACAGAAATATTCAAAGATATTTAAAACTTCTCAACCATCCATTTGAAAGTGACATCTTTGCAAGATGTATCTACATGTACTTTCAACATGCGGTGTGAATTTCTGTGTAACAAGCATTTGCTGTTGTTCAGTAGATGTGTCATGTACAGAATGAATTCCTTACGAACAGTTTGTTGTTATTGTTTTTTTTACTGATTTTGATGTAAGGACTATGAATGTTGGGTGCAGGTAGGTTTATATTGTTATGCATGTTGTTAGCAAAGGCCTACACATTGTCATGTTTTTTCACTGCACCTAACCTAAATGTATTATGTATCTCTGAATTCCATGGTCATGGAAGCCATAAATTCATGGTCTCTGGATAGCCTCCATAGCATGCCAAAAACTGGGGGTTTTGGGGACTTCAGGGTCTTTGGGAGCTTTTATGTGCTATTTTCTGATTGCATATAGACAACATAGCCGGCCTGGTTGAATTACCCCCGTTTAGAACTGGGCTAATCAGAAAACAGCCGAAGACCACCAAACCCACAGTTCTATAAGACTGCAATGGAGGCTAGTCTCTGGTCTGGACATCTCTATACTATTCCCTAAAAGTTTTTTCTCTGCAAATTGTGAAGCCATAGAACATATTTCTTGCCATTACATGTATATAGTTTGTCCATCCATTTTAACTGTTTTGAATTCATGTTTTTGAATGTAAAGAGCCCTGCCTTCTTAAGCAACATTTTGCAGCATGCATATTGGGTGTTAGTTCGGTTATAGTTGTACTTATAAATATTTTGTAACGGTTGCTGCTACTAGTTGATATCTGATAGACAAATACCTACAAAAGATTTAAGTAAAGTTACATGTATTTTAGCTGCACATGAAGTCATTGAAATGAAGTCTAAAAGATTGAACAGCTACTGTTGTAATTTTCAAGAAGTAACAAGAACGTTAGTCATACAGAACAACAATAAGTTTTATTTATGTCACACACAAAGTGGGTGAGTGAGACACACAAAGAAAGATACCAAAAACATATTGTACCATCATGTATTATAAAAAAAATGAAGCAATACAACGTCTTACTAATCTATCACTAGACAATAAAATGCTTTTTACATGACAAACTCCTGGACTTTTTTTCCAACAGCCACAAAGATGCCAATTAAGGTAACTTATACAGGAATGCAGGATTAGATTCAACAGTTTATACTAATAGAATTTAAAGGATATGTTTCAAAAAGGGATCTCCATTACAAAAGCTACTTAAGGTAGAACACATGAAAATCTATTCTAATATAAATGCACTGAGAATGTGTGCATACATGTCAGATGCACACATGTAAAATGGCCTTTTTTTGCACAGATTTCTAAACAGGATTATTACATGTGTTCCAACAGAGTCAGAAAGATATGTCATTTTACCCTCCAACAGCTTACATATTCAATGAGACATAAAAAAACACAGCAAAGAGGCATTTAAAGAAATACATGACTTTTAAACAACAGTACACCCATGTGTTTTGGCGCTATCTATCAAGTTTACCACAAACTGAGCATGAAATATTACCAAAAGCTTCAGCATGAAAGTTCATCTGAGTTGGTAAATTACATGATGAAAAATTTTAACTGTTCTCCAACTCAAAATTTGACTCACCGGAATTTTTGACTGAATCACTTAGTCTTGTGACCCAAATGCTGTGGACACGTGATTTTAAGTGATACAGGACTACTTCAAGAGAGGCATAAAAGAGGCCATATACATCAGGGCACTTCAACCATCACTCAACCGGGACGGTGGGCGATATCGACTTCAGACAACCTTTGACCCTTTGCTGACGTCACACGTGGGAAAAATCACGTGTCCACAGCATTTGGGTCAGATAGCTGAGGAAGACTGAGTGATTCGGTCGAAAATTTCTGGTGAGTCAAATTTTGAGTTGGAGAACAGTTTAAATTTTTCATTACCAAAAGCTTGTTATATTTTCATCCATCATTATTGTTTTACATGACTTAACCCCCTCTTTATCAAGGCAGTTTTTTAAACTGCTGCTAACATGGCTAAATAGACAAAATACAGTCCCAAAGATGCACATCAAAACATGTAGACCTGTTTAGGCCTATTTTACAGTTAGAAACACAATGTATGTTAATAAAGAGAATGTACATTTATCTATCCTAATACTGGAAACTTCTCTTGGTCTGTATGTCATCTAAGATCTGTTGTAGCTCCTCGTCTTCAAATCTGCCTTCAAGACTGTGGAAAGACAGAAATGTCATTATCAAGCATTCTTTAGCAATAAACGTATATATAAAGCCATTGTGAATCGACATTCACATGTAATTCAATGGTGATAAAAAAACAGCTCAAAGGCTTAAACCAGTTTCTGACTGTAACATCATTCATTCTTACTAAGGCCACACCAATTTCATCATTCATTCTTACATAGGCCACACCAATTTAATTTCTTGGTTAATGGATTCGCCCACTTCATTTTTTTCTGATTTGCAAATAAAAATAAAAATCAGAATCAACTGCAAAATGCTCATATTTTGCCTTGAACAGTTGAAAACAGTCCTTTTCATCCTAGTTGTTACAGTTATTCCATCTTTCAATGCAGTGGTATCATTAAAAGTTCAAAATTCATTGTTTAAATTTTGAACCAGCCTGGTGTGTTGACTTCATGCCTCCTATTGTACCATTTTGGGCCGTAATAGGATGCCTAGGCCTGTTTTTTTTTTTTTTCGCCCGCCCGCTCCATTATTTTTCTAGAAAAATCCGTTAACCAAGAAATTAAATTGGTGTGGCCTAAAACTGGAATGTAGCAAAAACAAGCTTAAGATATCATTGGGATAGGGGTTGACTGAAATACATGTACAGTGATATCCACACCTTGGAATGAGTGATTTAGCCTCCTCGGCTGACTCTGGACAGAGGTTGGCCAGCGCTGCCAACTCAAACTTGTGGAGCTTCTTCTGCATAAGTAAACTAGTTAGAGGGAAGGAGAAATATACATTGAGAAAAACACCTTTTGACGATTGAACGAATATTGTACTACATACAACTGTGAACAATAAGCAAAGATAATGTCCTTGGCAATAAGTCAGTTCATGGTTTGAACTGCAATTCATCACTGAACTAAAGACAGCATCTTAAGATTATATTTATAATTATATACTCAGTCAACGACAACATGTTTTGAGGGATTGCAGTCATTTCAGATTTAAAGATGGTGGCCCCATATGTATGAGGGAGCTTATGGCAAAGCTTCAAGTGCCAAACCTTTGCACATTAAAGAACCCAACACACTTAGATTAAGAAGAATAGGGGTGACTCAGTGTGTTGGCTACCAGTATAAAATGCGAGCTGTTGCAAAGCCACATTGCACTACAAGCTACTTTAAAAAGCATTATGCTTCACCTTGATGATGAGTAGCCGTGGGTTCGCGGAAAAGGCTGGCCAGTCTGCTTTTGGGTTTACGGAAAAGGTGGGCAGGGCTAGGGATACTTTGCAGGCTATCCTTTCTGTGCCCCAAAGGGTGTGCATGGGGGTTTGGTCTCTAACAAACTTACTTGTCTTTACAGCTATGGGTGGGCTGTTTGGGGTGGTAATTACTGCTATTAGCAACTTGAGCCTGGTAGAGGCTAGTAATAGCTTGAGTACTAGTAGTAGCTGAATAGAAAAGTACCTTCTGACAGCGGCTATAGTTTCCCTGTTCTTGAACCTGCTGAAGCGTGAGGTGTAGCCCAGGGTTTTCATGAAGACTTCTGACAACTCCTGCTCCTCCTCCGCACTCTCGTTCTGCTGCTTCCTGTGCTCCAGTAACATGTTCACCTCCGAGTTCAGCAGGGTCTCCGCATTCTCAAACTCTAGGGGAAAACATCATGGGGAAAGTGCAAGAAACAGGAGGAGCCAGTAAAAACCCTTCTGGTCCCGGGCGGGGTTAGAACCCCGAGCACCAGCCTTACAACCAGACGCTCTAACCGCTCTGCCGAAAAGATCTAGACCTTTCGGCCGGGTCAGTTAGTAGCGCCTATAAACCCCCCACTGTTACACTACTCCCCCTTTTCTTTTCAAGATTTGTCCTCGAATCTTACAAATTCCACATCCCTGGAGCGGCACTCTTTGCCAGAACTCCCAGGGCCGGTGTGGGAACCACTGTAAGAAACAGGAGGAGACAGTAAAAACCCTTCTGGTCCCGGGCCGGGGTTAGAACCCACAACCTCCCGAGCACCAGCTTCATAACCAGATGCTGTAACCGCTCGGCCGAAAAGGTCTAGACCCATCGGCCGGGTCAGTTGGTAGCACCTATTATGCTTGGTTTGGTTTTTCTTTTAATGCCCACTATCATTATAATGATCATTCTGGCATACTCATTAACACCTAGGTGAAGTGAGGGAAGTCGTGAAAAGTGCCTTTCCCAAGGGCACAAGGTTGGTGATATGGCAGGATTCGAACCGTGGACTAGACCTCTTGGTTCCGAGCCGAATGCTGTGTCAAAAACTTCTCTTGCACATTACCCCCCCCCCCCTCAAACACAAAGCAACAAGACCAGTAGAGTACGCAATTTTTATCCGTCCATAACTTCAGAACCTTCGAGACAGAAATACCATGGAGTTCATAGATAGATACATGATACATTAAGAAACTTCTCAGATGAATAAGATATCTCAGTTACCCTTGGGAAACTGTAGCTGCGCCGCGTCTTCTTCTATATCTGCTCCGGACTCACTTGCACCGGTCGCCATGCTTCTCACTACGGACTGGCCCACTAATGTGGAAAGGGGTGTTTTGCCAAATCAATGTAACACATTCCTGCATGTAAACAAACATGTGCAAAACAACTTTCTGTTTACGATCAGATATTGAATTTATAAACGTAATAAACGTTTCGTGTGTTTAATTTCTTTCTAAATGAGATTTATAATTTTTATATTTGCCATTGAAAACACTAAACCTCCTTGATAGTTGTGGGATCGGCTAAAGATGTTGGCACAAACTATTCATACAAGAGGGGTTTAAGTTGATATTTTCTGTAAATCAGGCAATGTTTATCATCAATATACGCTTACTCTATTATATAAACCCTAGGAAGGACTAAAATGAAATTTATATTTTTAATCTATTCTGTAATATTTTATATTTCAGAAAAATCTATGGCATTAACTATTATTTTGATAGCTTCTCTCCCTCTTCTGTAGTGGGCTTGACTATCCATTTTCAAGATGGCAGACCTTCTAGGATCTATTTTGAGCTCGATGGAAAAACCTCCCACAATCGGGGAAGAGGAAAAGAAGAAGGCTAAAAGTAAGTCTAAGGGTACTTCAGAATTACGTGATCGGAAAGAGAATGTTTTAGGTGAACAATTTTGTTGCACAGGAAGGATATTTTACCTCCATGACTCATGAGTCAGTCACTACACGTAACGCTACATGTACAAATATAAAATTTGATCATAAATATATTTTCATTTTATTCGAAACAACAACGAGTTATTTTATTTATTGTGAGGGGTAATATTTTCATATTTCGATGAAGAAAAAGTGACTGAAATCTAGTATCTAGCTAAGCTACGGTCTTCAAATATTATGGACACAACATAAATGTCCATATTATATTTCATGATTTGTTTTCTTCGTCGCGACATACACAGAACAACGAGAACAATTGGAGAAACTTCAAGCTCAAGAAAAGGCGGCCAAATCCAAGTTTAGGAAAAGGGTGAGACTTCATTTTTTTTCATAATTTGTGACAAGACTCACAAATGTATCATCATAATAAAATAATCCTACAGCCTATATGTTATAACCTAACAATATTTTGTATGTGTTGCATTGCCATTGCAATATTTTAGATTTTCATCAACTGTGTTTCAATGGTTTTTGGTTTCTTTAAACTTGACCGAGCAAACACGTACGCCACTCAAGGTCTAAGATTAAAAATCTATTTTCCCTACTAACTAACTATTAATTACTTGTCTTGCCGCTCGCCTTGTACACGGCGGTCCAGTGATGCCAATTCTGTCCATGACCCTACCGATAGCATCAAAGTTATGCTTTGAAAACCCCAAAAATTGCGAGAGCCAGCCCTGGCTGGTCAGTGCGCTCAGGCCCGGGAACTCGCGCCGAGCGGTACGCACGGAATCAGCACCAAGTTGTCTGCGTATCGGCACATGGTGGCGGCGTTTACAAAATAAAAAAAATCACTGATTCGTGAAGTCAAATACCTCGCGAACTCTCGCCGATATCGCGAAAAAAAGTCCTCGCGAACATAAATGCATAATTACAGTAACTAATCTTACAGCTAATCTCTTTATTTGTCTAGTATGCTAGTATAGCCATGGATGATTCTAACTGCATGTCTCTGGTTAAGTTTTCAAACTTTAGAAATGTATTTGACAATGTCATTGTTTGAGTATAGTTACCGGTAATTTAAGTTTCTTTGTTGTTGTTTTTTCTAGATAGTAGATGAGGTAAACAAGTTCATCAATGACAGCTCATGCACCAGGCACAAGTTTGAGGCCATGGACAAAATGGCCAGAACTATCGTGTAAGAAACATCTACTTTTTCCATAATTTAAAGCACTCAATCTAGTACATGCATTGTATCAATTTTAGTACTAGTATTTGTGTAACAGTGGGGTGGGGGGTTTATACGCGCTACCAGTTGACCCAGCCAATGGGTCTAGACCTTTTAGCCAAATTGTTAGAACGTCGGGGTTGCAAACTGGTGCCCAAGTTTGGTGTGGATTCAATCAGGAGCCAGGAGTATCTTTCTGTTTCTACTCTTCAAATTCTTACATATGTATTACTGACAATTCTATAACTAGAATCTGTGTAAAAAGAAAAGAGATTTGTACATGTAGTAATGTTGTATATATAGAATATTTTCTCCTGTCAAAATCTTAATGTTTGCTTCCAATTGGCCTGTGTGTAATTGTAGGCCCATGTTGTTAAGGTAATTTCCTGCAAATTTGCCAGCAGAAGACAACTTGTCAGTTTTCCAAATGCGGCCTGCATGTGACATGTTGGTCCATCTTATATGTAAATGTTTGACAGTGAAAAAGATAACTTTTTAATCTTTTCCTGTCTAATTTTTCAGCCATGATGTTGCAGAGGTTGCAGGTCTCACTTCCTTTTCCTTTGGAGAGGACGAGAATGACAGATATGTCATGCTCTTTAAAAAGGTAGGCACATATTATTGTAATATTTTCTATCTGTGTTTCTTTTTTAACTTCTTATGTATGATACTGTACATCTGTTTATAAGACTCCAACCAGGGGACCAAAGTACTAGTAAAGTTATCTTCTTGGACAGTTCACTTAATGCTTGCACCTATATTGAAAAAATATTTTGTTACCACAACAATGTGGTTACTATGGTCATGTTGCTGGCTTGAAGAAATGGCCACTCGGACAGATTTAAATGTAGCTGTATAATTTAATATATACATGTACCAGCTTACAAGTGACAGATGTTTGAATCACAGCTGTCCAACTGCTGTTGTTCTGTGTTTTTCAGGAATTCGCCCCCTCGGATGAAGAGCTGGAGGCCTACAGGAGGGGAGAGGACTGGGATCCCAGCAAGGCTGAAGAGATCAAGAGACAGAAAGAGGTACTGAAGTACATTATTTGTGCTTGTTTTATTTTTGTGAATTTTGTAGTGTCTCTTCTCTGGAACTTAATTCCTGCTACAAAATCGAGTCCCCAGAAAATATTTCAGTATTTTTTAGCCCGGCTGGAAAGAGTAGAGGCCAGATAGACAGATAACATGCAAAGGGGAGTTGGTCCACTAAAGGAATACAGTTTGACACTTCTGATAATATCTTCAGGAGTGACAAACTGCACTCCTCTAGCCAATTCCTCTGGAATATTACCTGGCTATTCAGCCAATTTCTACTCTTTTCAGCCACTTCTGAACCCTGGTCTTTTACTATCATGAAAGGTCATCTCTGCTGGTAGTTACATGTTTAGACTTAGAGTTAAAAGTTTAGATCTAACACAAAAAGTTCTCTCACCTAGAGCTTTCGACCAGTCACTCTGGTCTTCCTCAGTAGACTGACCCAGTGAGGCTTGTCACATGCAAGGGCCCATCACCCTTCACTTAACCGCGATGGGGGCCAACATCGTCTACCAGATACCTTTGACCCAGTGTTAACGTCACACTTCAAAGAAGCCACGTGACAATCCTCACTGGGTCAGTCTACTGAGGAAGACCGGAGTGACATATTTATGTCTTTATTCCCCAGGCACAAGTTGAAGAGGCCTCATCTTCACAAGTCTCACACAAGGTCGTCCCCATGTCAAACTACAAGGACAAGTACAAGCACCTGATAGGAGACACCTCAGCCAAGGCTGCTGCTCAGATAACTACTGCTAACAAGGCCTATGGCTTTGGTGAGTCTTATTATGTTTACCAAAGGAAAACATATTATATTGTTTTTGCTCAGTTTCCTCTTCTTCTTCCGTTCCAAACACTGACCTCTGACCTGGTCAACCAGACTGTCTCTCACCATGGTAACTGGTGTAGGGTTACATAATGTCACCATATATATGAATGTGTTTGAGTAAGAATTAACAGAGCAGACCATGTGCGAAGGTAAACATTATGCATTTGCTTTGCAAATGTTACCTACTTTCTAGTTCTTACTGGTGTAATAGGTCAAGTGGGTTTGTTTGTTTCTTTGTTTGTTTGTTTTATTAAGATCTCCATTGTGGGTAGAGTGCTTGCCTTGCTTTAATCATAGGAGATGCAGTATCGAAACCTGGCTGAGTTACAAATGGTACATGCAGTTTCCTCCAGTGGTAGTTGAACACAAACCACTACTGAGTTACTGAGTGAGTGTGAGTGAGTGAGTGAGTGTGAGTGAGCGAGTGGGAGGGTGAGTGAGTGAGTGTGAGTGAGTGTGAGTGAGTGAGTGAGTGAGTGAGTGAGTGAGTGAGTGAGTGAGTGAGTGAGTGAGTGAGTGAGTGAGTGAGTGAGTGAGTGAGTGAGTGAGAGAGAGCAAGCGAGTGAGCAAGTTTTTCTATGATTTTACTAGCAAGCGATTTACTATGATTGCTCTAGATTGCTATTCTTACTGATATTTTCTTGTTTCAGTTCCAAGTGAGAACAAAAGAGATCAACGCTCCATTGAAGAGGTGCAGAATCAGATCAGAGCAAAGAAGAGGCAAAAAACTGAGGACCCAACTGCAGAGGCTGCACAGTCATCTTCTAATGTGGAGCAGTAATACATGATACCGTGGCTCAAATTCACCACATTTTATGATATAAAATGTGTATAAAATTTCAGCATGAAAGTTCATCTGAGTTGGTAAATTACATTATGAAAAACTTTAAACTGTTCTCTAACTCAAAATTTGACTCACCAGAAATTTTCGACTGAATCACTCAGTCTTCCTCAGCTATCTGACCCAAATGCTGTGGACACGTGATTTTTCCCACGTGTGGCGTCAGCAAAGGGTCAAAGGTTGTCTGAAGTCGATATCGCCCCCCGTCCCGGTTGAGCGATGGTTGAAGTGCCCTGATGTATATGACCTCTTTTATGCCTCTCTTGAAGTAATCCTGTTCGGTATCCAAGATTCTGACCCCCTCCAGATCCACTGTGTGTCCCGGTGATTCTATGTGGATGTGCTGTGACACCTCAGATGCAACAGAACTGGGTCGTCTATGTTCTAGAAACCTGGTGTCCACAGCATTTGGGTCAGATAGTTGAGGAAGACTGAGTGATTCAGTCAAAAATTCCTGGTAAAATTTGTAGTGGGAGAACAGTTTTTCATGTTGTGTATAAAATTTCTTGTATTGTCAATGTACGTATTGTCACGGTTGGTAGAAAAACTGGACAAAAAGTTCATGATTTGATTTGTATTTATTTCATTACATTTTACTTTGCCAATGAAGTAATGTTTGCCCCCCCCCCATCAGCATTAAAAAGTTTCTAAGTTTGTACCTAACTTCCTTGGATAGTTGGTTACAATCCAGTCTCTGGAATTAAGGAGATACTAGAGAAGTAACATTTGCAAAGCAAATACATAATGTTTACCTTCGGACATGATCTGCTCTGTTGATTTTTACTTAAACACATTCACATACATGTACTATATGGTGACAGGAGTAGAGCAGACCATGAAATTGCAAAATTATGTAACCCAACACCAATCACCATGGTGATAGACGTCAACAAATCATGTCATTGGTCAGGTAATAGGTTACTGTTTGGAGAAGAAGAAGAGGAAGAAACTGAGCATAAACAATATGTTTTCCTTCTGTAAACATAATAAGTTGTAATTTTTACAAAAAAGAAATAATAAAGTGTATATTAGAATGCTATGTTTTATGATCAAATAGCATCAAAATGAAATAGTACTGGTCCACACACTGAATAGTGTACAGTGAAAATCTTAGTAAACCAAGCATCCATACTCAGTTGTGTAAGTTAGTTTATTTTTGTAGCCAAGATGTGTGAAAAAACAACAAGAAATTTAGTAGCAATTGTGAACACTTTATAAGTCAACTTACAAGTTAAAAGTTAGTGAAATCTCTAAAATATCTATAACTATCAGGTCATTGTAAGCTTTTGTGACTACAAAAGTGGCAATGTACTGATCATTACATTTGTATAATATCATGAAAGTTCATCTGTGTTGGTATCTACATGTTTAAAGTTAAAACTTTTGGTCCAACACAAAAAATTCTCTCAGCTAGAGCCTTTGACCAGTCACTCTGGTCTTCCTCAGTAGACTGACCCAGTGAAGCTTGTCACGTGGCTTCTTTGAAGTGTGACGTCAACACTGGGTCAAAGGTATCTGGTAGACGATGTCGACCCCCGTCACGGTTCAATGAAGGGTGATGGGCCCTGATGTTAATGGCTTCCTTCACCCCTTTCAAGAAATAGTCTTGTTCAGTGTCTAAAATCCTTATAGTGCGACGGGGGCCGACATCGTCTACCAGATACCTTTGACCCAGTGTTGGCGTCACACTTCAAAGAAGCCACGTGACAAGCTTCACTGGGTCAGTCTACTGAGGAAGACCAGAGTGACTGGTCGAAAGTTCTAGGTGAGAGAATTTTTTGTGTTGGATCAAAAGTTTTAACTTTAAACATTTGTATATTATCATGAGTGCATAAATGTGTTGTTTTAGATCTATACAATACTACACACTATAAACTATACATGTTGAGCATGTGGTCAAATATGGCTCTGAAGCTGTACAGTTTTTGTGAAAGAATAAAGTTTGGATTTTTACTTTGTGTTAGCATCATGGAAGTATAGCTAGACTAAGACTAAGACCATATCAGTAAAAGGTATACGTAAATGTGAGCAACTGTATCTTTTAATCCTCTATGACTTAAAAACAATTTCAAACATTCATAATTAGTTGTTAATACATGTGTATATGTACATCCCCTTTTTAAAGTTACATAAAACTTGTTTGGAGAAGTTTGTTAGCTTGCCCTATAGTTCATTACCTCTATGGCAAAAAGAAGAACAACTATTTCTACCTTCTATTCTATTTGAACGTGTAGCATACAACTCAAAACTATTGTCCAACATAAAATCTGTGTACGTTCACAGTGTTCATATGGCGCCATCTAGCAGTCCTGACTCTAACTACATGTATATTACTACACTATCTACTAATAGCCAGAGATCTTGTAAGTGTAATACACTATATCCTATAGGTTCTGCATGTTTCGTTCGCTACAGCTTGCTCGGGGATTAGATCTTCTAGCGGGTCCATCGTCTGACGAAGTTTGCGACTGACCTACAACAAAAACAGAAGTTTAGTAGATAACTTCATGATTACTGTACACTGCACATGATTGGGAGTTAAAGACATTGTAGTTTTTACAGCTAACAACTGGTGCAAAGCCAAGAAGTAGGTAAGGATATCGATGTGGAAAAGGCTCTATCCGCTACACATTTATACAGTGCGTTGTCCGCTCATTCTTGGCGCGTTTACTGGTTTTTGTCATAGTATTTCGGGCTCATTTTATGTTGCCGATTTCACCAAAAACTTTGCACCTCACCGTTGATTGCTTTGCTAATGGTGCTTATGGCAAACGATTATGGATTTCGAAATTCTTTGCTAGTAACAGAATTTTGCCCCTAACCGTTTTGCTACTAACTGGGTAGCCTCTACCAGGCTTCGTGAGGTGACTGAAAAGATCGAGTAGAAATCGGCCAAATAGAGAGATGAAATGCCAGGCAGATGGAGTTGGTCCGCTAGTGTTTGCCGCACCCGAACTGTACTCTCTAGCGGACCAACTCCCCTGACATGTTATCACTCTATTTCAACTCTTTCCAACCGCCTCCCGAAGCCTGGTAGAGGCTACTAACTGCAACTAAAAGGGTCTTGATATGATTTATTGAAATTGCAACAGTGAAATACACGCGGAACAGAGGCAGCTGTTGCTGGTGTTGTGTCCCGCACATAGAAACGAATACAGGACAGACAATACTCATTTTCAGTTGAGTCTAGTGGGGGAAAGTCGTGTAAGGTGCCTTTCCCAAGGGCAAAAGATCGGTGGCATGTCAGGACTCGAACCCGGAACCTCCTGATTCCGAGTCGCGCACGCTGCCGTTGCGCCACACGACCCAACGATAAGGGTCTTTTAATTACCTCTTCTGTTTCCTTGAAGACGCGGATAAGGTTCAGTCCCAGCAGTTTCTTAATCTGATCGTCCGTCCAGCCGCGAACGATCAGCTCTTCCATCAGGTTGGGATACTTGGAGACGTCTTCAAGACCCACGGGCACTCTGAGAAGGAACATTTGACAGTTGTAACAAGGAGAGCGAACAAGGAAGTACAAAATAATGTGTTATACACTGGGATATTAGCCGAGGTACCATCCGGATTTTCGCTCCGCAACTCTTTAAAAAAATTATTTTTCAAACGTTGCGGAGCGAAATCCGGATGGTACACAGGCTAGGCTATTGTATCAATAAGAATTCATATTTACGAAGGCCCATAGGTACACTTAGCATTTTTTATTCCACTTTGTATTTTCTATGGGTACTTTGTATTTTCTATGGGTACTTTGTATTTTCTATGGGTACTTTGTATTTTCTATGGGTTACTTTGTATTTTCTATGGGTACTTGTTTTTTTCTGTGTGTACTTCGCGAAGTTTTCTTGGTGGCTGGCGAAGCGACATTCATTTTGCTTTGATGTGGATGCTCCCATTTTTATTATGGGCGGTATATTTCTGTTTACCATTCCAGGCAACTAAATTTATTTTGAACCTATTTAAACATAATATACTTTACACTTTAAGAAAATTTTGTTTGTTTTGCATGCAATGTTCCACACGTTTATTAATTAGGAGTATCAAATAGTGATTATTACATCCTGGCATAGATTATGTTAATGTAGACACAGGACCATACTATTTTCGGGGGTGCTAGGACATATTGTTCAGACTTCCGTCAACATTTCCGTAGCGATATATGGTAAATCACTTCCTCGCTGAATGTAAATTACTCCTTTGTATTAAAAAAAGCCCGTAATCTAAAGCGAGGGTTCATTGCCAATGTTGGGAAAAAATTGCATTGCGGTTTGCTGCCCTCCTACCAACCACGAACGTTCATCACATGCAGTTTACGTAGGAAATATGGACAATATGCCGTTTCAGTAAATAACCTGACATCTAAAATTGTTGAAATATTCACAGAAACTCAAATTACACTCTAGGTTGACCGTCTAATCGTGTGGTAAGCTACATGTGTGCTGTAGTGACATGAATTGGCACTTTTGTGGGGAGGGGGGCGTCCCAACAAAGGTCAACGACCTCCATGGCTTACGGCCTATGTTTCACGCTTTTGCACTTCATAAATGAACAATTTTAGATGTCAGGTTATTTACTGAAACCAAGGAGGTTGAATACAATACTTGTATTTAACCTCCTTGCTGAAACGGCAATATTGTCCATATTTCCTACGTAAACTGCATGTGATGAACGTTCGCGGTTGGTAGGAGGGCAGCAAAACCGCAATGCAATTTTTTCCCAACATTGGCAATGAACCCTCGCTTTAGATTACGGGCTTTTTTTTAATACAAGGAGTAATTTACATTCAGCGAGGAAGTGATTTACCATATATCGCTACGGAAATGTTGACGGAAGTCTGAACAATATGTCCTAGCACCCCCGAAAATAGTATGGTCCTGTGTCTACATTAACATAATCTATGCCAGGATGTAATAATCACTATTTGATACTCCTTATTAATAAACGTGTGGAACATTGCATGCAAAACAAACAAAATTTTCTTAAAGTGTAAAGTATATTATGTTTTAATAGGTTCAAAATAAATTTAGTTGCCTGGAATGGTAAACAGAAATATACCGCCCATAATAAAAATGGGAGCATCCACATCAAAGCAAAATGAATGTCGCTTCGCCAGCCACCAAAAAAACTTCGCGAAGTACACACAGAAAAAACAAGTACCCATAGAAAATACAAAGTACCCACAGAAAAAAACAAGTACCCATAGAAAATACAAAGTACCCACAGAAAAAAACAAGTACCCATAGAAAATACAAAGTACCCATAGAAAATACAAAGTACCCATAGAAAATACAAAGTACCCATAGAAAATACAAAGTACCCATAGAAAATACAAAGTGGAATAAAAAATGCTAAGTGTACCTATGGGCCTTCGTACATATTGTACTTGATTTTACGTGTAACGTTGCAGCAGCAACTCAGAACAAGTCAGTGTTGCCCTGAGGAAGGTGACAGACGGTCACCGAAACGTCGTATGTGTAAACCACTGGTTGTTAAATTTGAAAAAAAAAACTTTTTAAATAGTCTCTTGCTGAAGGTATTTACGATGAAGGTATTTACGGAGAGATATCTACATATTTAAACGTTCATGATTTCTAGTACACCATTTAACAGCATTATATAAAGTACGTGTACTACGAGTATTTAATAAGCTGACCTCTCGACGCCGTCGTAGTCTGCTCCCATGCCTACATAGTCTTCCCCTGCTACTCTCTTGATATGGTCACAGTGATCTACGGGAAGATAGAGAGTTAACAGGGAATTTGTATACAAAGATTTAGCATGGAACTGTTCAAATAGAATCTAAGGGAACACACAATAAGCAACGAAGTGTCAACTGTCACAAAATAAGCTTTGCTAGATAGAAAATTCATGATGCAAACTTAAAAGAACGAAATACGACATAATCAAGAAAAATATGAGAAAATAGATTTCTTAGCACATGACTCAAAGTTGCTTCAAATTGTTAGCACTACCCCTTTTCAAAACGTAAACAGGATTTAAGTCTTTATGCAGCAAGTTTAAACTAATGTAATTTCCAACACAAGAAATTGGACTCGCCCAAATTTTCCACTGTACAACTCCAGTCTTTGTCAAGGAATGAACACACATAGAATCGCCTGGTCATCCAGTCTCACTGGACAAAGTAAGAATCCTGGACTCAGAACCGGATTTCTTTGCACAAGGGATTAAAGTACATCAGGGCATTACAACCATCCCTCAACAGAGACGGGGGGCGCCACAGACTTTCTGCAACCTATGATCTACTGCTCACGGAGTCACGTGTGTTATCTGCGTGACGTCACGAAAGCGGTGGATTGTTCATTCCTTGACAAAGACTGGAGTTGTACAGTCGAAAATTTGGGTGAGTCCAATTTCTTGTGTTGGAAATTACAGTTTAAACTTGCTGCATAATGACTTCTACCAACACAGATGAACTTTCAAGATAGGATTTAAGTCTGCCCTATCGCATTAGGTTTGGAGTCTGCGAAGGATGTCATCCATGAAATTTACTTGCTGTGGCCTAAGGTTACCTGCGACGTGTCTGATGTTGGTTGTTGGCGTCTTGTTGGGACCACAGTTGATGTAGTCGTTGTAGAAGTTCACCATAACGACACCCTTGTTCTGTTTCTGAGTGTGAAAGAACGTGACATCTTATTTTAAAAAGCGTCCTTCTTTTCAAAAGATGCCCAATCGGTTTATAAATAACACACGACACTAAAAGAAAAAGAATTATTGATGCGTTCAACTTGATGCGTTCTACTTTCGGTCGGCCTTAGGCCATGTTGATTTGATTATATGGATGACATCCTCCGGGAGCCCCAAAACTGATGCGCGCGTGCGAATAAAAAAAAAGTTTTGCAAAAAAAAGTTCTTTTCATTATGAAATCTACGTGGTCATGAGGGTTGAGCAAATGGCACAGAATATGGTTTGGCGAATAATCTAGTCTTCAAGTTCATTTCTTTACAATTTCGTCTTTTTTCGTTTGATTTTGGCATTCTACGACATTGGTATAGTTTTTATTAATTTTTTTGTAACTTATGGTATATTTTTGCTCATTTTGCAACTGTTTTGTACGATTTACAATATGGTTGAAAACTTTTTTTTTTTGGAAACGGCCGAAAATTCATGCGCGCGCGGATGTCATCCATATAATCAAATCAACATGGCCTTAGAAAGAGTGGCAGATAGGCAAAGGAGGACGCATTTTCGTTAGCTACAGTAGTAGTGCAATGCGGCTTCGCAACGGCTCGCATATTCAGCCAAGCACATCATAACCCCTACTCTTCTTGATTAATGTTTTGGCTTCTTTTATATTACATGCAGAGATTTGGCGCAATGAGCTCATTCATACACGGAGCCGCCGGCTTTACGTCCCCATCCGAAAGGACGATGTGACACTATTCCAGCCGCGTCCAGGTCTAGGTGCCAACTGTCAACTCTAGCCGTAGGCTCCACGGAATCAATTCTAGCCCTCTTTTTACACAGTTGGTAAAAACGAGAAAGAAGCTACAATTCTTATAACACAATGCGTAGTAGGAGACCGAAAATGATGCCCTGGGGAACACCTGCGCAATTTTCCCCGTCATTAGGCAGCCTGTCAATCGACAACAGCACGCTGGCATCTAGAAGATAGACCCTGCTTGCTTTAAAGCTGTCTTCGTTTACGATTTTGGTAAAACATACCAACTACCAACAATGTATACTAGTAATAGGGGGACCAAAATGGTGCCCTGTGGAACACCTTCGCAATTTTTTCCATCATTAAGTAGCCGTCAATCGACGACAACAGCTAGCACGCTGGCATCTATCAGATAGACCTGGCTTGCGTTAAAGCTTTCTTCTTTTACGATTTGTTTACATGTTTCCAAGAGTATACTTGTCTAAGACTTTATTTGGCCCAGATCTCGGCACAACACGCACCATTCTCCTGAGCACGTCGTCCGGCACGTTCCTGGTGTGGTTGCAGAGCGCGTAGGCCGAGGAGTGACTGAAGATGACGGGAGCCTGCGTCACGTCCAGCGCGTCGTGCATGGTCTTAAAGGACACGTGCGACAGGTCCACCAACATCCCCAGTCGGTTCATCTCCTTGATAACCAGCTACAAGAAGAAGAAAAGTAGGCAAAACATCTTAAAGACACCATTTGCCTGTAATAAGAACGTTCGTGCGCTGAACTTGAGAATTAGAATTAAAGCCAGTCAAAGTTTATGTAGCACGCCGCCACGTGGTTAAAAGCCTATATACTAGTAGGTTGGCGACCATCTAGCACGTGTATATTTCCCTCTCCTTGTTCTTGAGCCAAGCTTTTGCCTGTCGGTGTATCTTTGCTGAGTGCTAAGTAGAGAATCAGTATGCAACATTCTTTGGCATGATTGGCTTGGTAGAAGCAAACGCTGCCCCATGCACTAGAACTAAGAAAACGGCAGATTTCATATCCAGAAAGCTAGCCGAAAATTGTCTGAAGTTCGTCAAAAGAAATGATCCAGTGGAATTTGTAAGTTCAAAAATGTAAACGTAACGGAGACTAAGTCAATGTTTCTTTCTAAAATATACACGAAAGTAGGCGGGGCAAAAATTTGAGTAGGCGGCGATTTTCGCGGGTTTTCAGATTGTTTTGAGAAGGCTGAATCATCATTCTGTTGCAGAATTGAGTAAAACATTGATAATCAGCTACGAGAAGTAGGAATAAAAACGGGTACTCTACCCAATAGACTTCAGTACTAAAGTTATAGTACAAACGAAGTTACATCGATGAAGGTTAGACATCCAGGTAATACGATACGCCAAAAAGCAGTTACTCAAGCAACTGGATATGATTTTGAACATTCAAAATCATTTCCAGTTGCTTGAGTAACTGCTTTTTGGCAAACGAGGTTACCTTTCCAAAATCAGTCAGACCGTTGTGCTCTGGGACTTGCTTCCCAGTTTCTTTCCATTCGTCAGCCCTGGAAAGAAAGAAAATGATTTTTTAATCAATAAAAATTTATGTAATGCGAAACGTGAAATTCGCGTGGAGTACTGAATAGAAAAAAACTGCTCAATCACAACTTGTATAGTAAAATGTTTTGTGTAATATTTTGGCTTAAGGTTACATCAAGATTACCATGCATGATTACTTTTCGTGTGTATCATCTGTAGTACATTTTAGGTGTGACGGATATCGTCAAAGTTTACGGCTATATTAACCACACGCACGCACACACACACACACACACACACACACACACACACACACACACACACACACACACACACACACACACACACACACACACACACACACGACACACACACACACACACACACACACACACACACACACACACACACACACACACATACACACACACACACACACACACACAACACACAACACAACACACACACACACACACACACAAACACACAAACACACACACACACACACACACACACACACACACACACACACACACACACACACACACACACACATACACACACACACACACACACACACACACACACACACACACACACACACACACACACACACACACACACACACACACACATACACGCAAACACACACACACACACACACACACACACACACACACACACACACACACACACAAACACACAAACACAACACACACACACACACACGTACGAGAGAGAGAGAGAGAGAGAAACAAAGTCGAAGCCCTGCATCTGTCTGTGAGTTGTACTGACCAGGGCGTGTTGCAGCTGTGTGTGATCGTCATGTACCGGACCCCCAGGTCGTAGAACATGCGCAGTGTAGCCAGGCTGCTGTCCAGACCGTGTCCGCCCTCCATGCCGATCAGACTGCCGATCTTTCCCGCCCTGAACGCCTCCCAGATTCCTGTGGAAAAATTCAGGGAAATGACCTTTAGTATGGTGAGCAGGAAGGGAGAGCGGCTAGACAATGAGGACATGCAAGAGGAAGGAAGGAAGGAAGGATATAAGGAAGGAAGGAAGGAAGGATGGATGGAAGGAAGGATGGAAGGAAGGATGGAAGGAAGGAAGGAAGGAAGGAAGGAAGGAAGGAAGGAAGGAAGGAGTGGGGAAAAGGAAGGATGAAAACAGAGAGGGCGGACGAATACAAGAAAAAAAGATACAAAGAAACGGAAGGTGGAACTAGGCAATAAAGAAAACAGAAAATGGAAGGAACGACCGAAAAGAGGATAGATCAAAAGAAAACTTTATAAAAGGCTATGAATATCAATTTTCCAGATAAAGGGTATACAGTGTAGTGTACAACTTAAGTAAGAATTTTACTCGAATTGTTGACAAGCAAATATTTGTTGTAACTCTGACCTTCAGCGGTGGTGACAAACTGGAACACATCCGGGTACTTCTCCACAAACCGTTTGATGACGTCAACCTGGCCCAGGAACCTGCGTAACGCGTCTTTGTACTGGGCGTCACACGTGACGTAAGCAGCCCAGAACTTTTGGAACAGAAAAAAAAATTCATTGGTTCATTGCCCAGTAATGTGACATACTAGTATTTTCGAATCCTTTCCAAACGACTTCGTAAGATATTTTGACTATGGAAATTTCTTTAACCTGGCTAGACATTTCATATCTGTGTAGCACCAAACTCTCTTGTCCGTGGCGCGTAAAGTGATTTATTGTCATCAGGCTGTACTCCCTAAACCCAAACCTCTGCTTGGAGAGTAATCAGAATGTAGAGATTTTATATTGAACAGAGAGCAGCAAGATGGCGACGCCCATGCGGCTCGTACTAAAGCCTTACAAGTTTTGCTTACTCACCAAGCAGAGACTTCGGTTTTGGTGTATTTTTGCTTTTTTGTGGAAGTTTCTTTTTTTGCACTGTGATCTTTTGTACGCCTAAAACACTCAATGACGTTCTATCAGAACGTCCCTGCAAAACTCAAACCTCTGCTTGGAGAGTAAGTTCTGCTGACTGTGTACCTGTGCGCCGACCATGCCCTCCCTCAGCCGGGGGATGTCTGTGTGAGACTGGTTGTAGAGAGGACGCATGTCCTGCGCCAGGTTCAGCTGACCCAGTCTGTTGTTGTACACGTCCTGCATCCGCCACGGCCAGTCGTTGTGGCTATTAAAAAATGAATAAATTTAACGGCTTTACTATAACGCATTTTATCTCAAATTGTACCCTCTATGGCAATGAACGAAATGAACTCTTTGACGTAGCCTCCAAATTCTACCCAAACTTTCATACATATACAAATGAAAAGAAAACTTCTCTCCTCTTAACATCCAAAAACCCACAGATTACAGAAAAAGTGGGATCCTTTGTCTTCCTCTGTCTTCAAAAAAGAAGTCAAACCCAGTAGTTTTTTATTAGTAGTTTCTTAGTAGTTAGTAGTTCCATGTGTACTTATCCATGTGTACTTATCCATGTGTACTTTATCTGTTTTTATACCAAATGTTTCTTCTGTTCATGCAATTAGCCCTCGGGCATGAATTTGCAATAAAACTTGTTTATTTCGGTACGTGGCAAATGTGCCGATGTTGACACATTGGCGCACCAAATCCGTAGTGTGTTTTTGGCACACAGATAGACAGATTAGCCTAAAGAGAGGCTCGGTGGGCGTCACTCCACCGTGCAGGTGGGGAAGTCGTGTTAAATGCTTTTCCCAAGGGCACAACGTCGGGCCACGGTATCGAACCAGCAGGGTTGGACAGTCACAAGTCCCAATGCCCACTTGCCCAGAGCAAGTAAAAGCACTGTTCGGGCAAGTGAATATCTTCCTGTACTTGCCTGATTGGGCAAGTAAATTTTTTGGATGCAAAGTATAGCTGCTACAGTGTTTGGAGCAAGTCAAACCACCTTAATTTCAATAAATAAAGCATCTAACATTATAAACTCCAAAATAAGATAATTTCCTTGGTGGTACATGGTAGTAAAAATGCATAGAAATATGTATATTTTGGGCAAGTGAAAAATAATTGGTTCGGGTAAGTGGAAATGACCTTGTACTTGCCCGATAGGGCAAATGGATTTTTGAAAACTTGTCCAACCCTGCGAACCCGGCACCTCTTGGTTCCGAGTCCAACGCTCTAACCATTGCGCCACCGACGCAATATAGGTGAAAAGTACCATTTACGACTAACTGGAAACTACATCATCAGTGTGTACATCATATCTGTCATTTATTTGTTACATTATCATTGTCATTGTCATTGTCATTATAAAGGATTCGTCCTAAACGCATAACCGAACAATCGTAAAACATCACTAATCCGAACCTAAACAAATGTTTTTCTCCATTTTCGGAGATTTTAGTTCAGTCAGGCTACTCTAAACCTTCCTATGCGCTATTAAATTTTAGCCTGGTTACCAAACCTATTATAGCTCCTGAGTCCTACATATCCTCTCCTCTCCTTACTCGACTCCGCATTGGGACCTGCAGCTTAAATCAAAGTTTATATCAACGTAATTTAGTTCTTAGTTCTGCCTGTACCTGTGGGTCTAAATGCGAAGACATTGTACATTTCCTTTTGCACTGCCCTGTACACAACTTGCATAGAGTGACCCTTCTCAGCAACTTACAGAGCCTAGTAGGCTCTACTTTTGACTTGCGCAACTTGTCTGACCAAGCCAGTATTAATCTTTTACTGAGGGGTTCGCCCCTTTTATGTCTTGAAGTTAAAAAAATTCTGATCCTTACTCAAACCTTTATAATTAATACCCAACGATTTACAGTTGCCTAATGATTTATATTGCCGTTAGTTTTGTATATACGAACGCTCATTTGTTGTTTTGTCATTTTCATACTTGTAATTTGTATTCTATGTCAGGGGTGTGATTAATATTAGCTTTGGCTAGTCTTGTACTTTGTTGTTTCAATAAATAAATAAAAAATAAATTTAAACTAGAATTCCGAGATCTCATACCTCCATGGAATATGATCTTGATATGTAAATGTAAATTTCTTCTTTAATTGTTCAAATGACCTCTGCATTAACATGATATATGCATCGTGATGTATGTTGACTTTTGATTAACTTACAGATGTCCCAAGTATGACATTCTCATCATTCACCATTACGAAATCATAGAATTTTCGCATTAATTATGCAAATTAGTTCATCATTTGCATAATTAGTATCTGTTGAAGTTCCGCCTGCCATAGGTTACATTCATTACATGTATGTAAGTAGTATAATGTAAAACACTGTAATTATAGAATTTCCTCATTAATTATGCAAATTAAGTCCTCATTTGCATAATTTGCATTTAATTATGTACATCTCTCTCTCAGCTACCTACACACCAAGAATAATGAAAATATGTTGTTCCTGTCTGGACTTATTGGCTTTTAAACATTTCGCCAGAAAGTGCCCTGCAGTTCCAGAACAAGCCGCTAGGGGGCCCAAACTCATATGACTTCTTCCCAAGCACGAGAGCTACCTTCCATCAAAATTTCATGACCCTAGCATGTCCAGATCGCGAGATATCAAAACCGGAAGTTGCGCTGCAGTACCAAGGGAAGCCACTAGGGGGACCAAAATCTCATCATTTCTAGTTTTCGTCACACCCTACCAACACACCAAGTATGAAACCAATCCATCCAGGCGTTCTTGAGTTATCTTGTTGACCAACAGACAGACGGACAGATAAACGCAACTGAAATTTTCATAATATAACCTCCATGACACATTTCATGGAGGTAAAAATAGTAGGAGAGGGTGTACCCCCGGCAGACAGATATGCGTGTACACGCGCTTGCATTGAGAGAAAACAGCTCCGGAATCTTGTTTGACCTTGATGTGTCGTCAACCCTTCACTGGATCAGATAACAGTTATATATGGCAGCTGCTGGCTTCGACAATACTAGTACAGGTCAAGGTCAGGAGAATAGTTAACGAGACAACGGATTCTAACGGAAATGGAAAGGTCATGAGTGTAGAAATTTCCTGTGCTTAGTTCTGTTGTCACTCACTCCTATGTTTCGATTCTACTGTACATGAGTAATGAGTAAGGCTCCCATTTGGCCAGAGCGCCGCGAGAGCCCCGAAGCTGATTTCCGTCTCGTAAACGGTCGATGCCATTGGAAACGGTCGATGCCATATCGCAGCACGGTTCATCCACATCGTGATGTTTCGTGGCGTAGATGTTATGGTATAGGTTAGGGTTAGGATTTTGGAGCTAAACTTTTGGACCTGGGTTCGAATCCGAGATTGTGCTTTTTTTCACTAATATTTACAATTCTATATAACCCTCCTTATATTTGCAGTTAGAATATTGCTTTTTATAGTATATATTACTTTTTAGTAGTTTTTGGACGCTCGGATATGGCATTGACCATTCAGCGAAATGGCATCGACCGTTTCAAATGGCATCGACCGTTTACGAGACGGAAAATAGCAGCGCCGAACCCTACGAAAAACGTGCTCAAGTAGAATCTCTACGGCGACCTCTCTCTCTCTCTCTCTCTCTCTCTCTCTCTCTCTCTCTCTCTCTCTCTCAGCGCGACGGAAAACTCAAAATGTGTCTAGCAAGGACATGTCCTTGGTACTAGCTAGTGCTTTGCGACCGAGAAAATGGTCCAAATAAAATGAAGTGAATAACCTTGTAGTTGTACTGCAGTCACCTGGCCCTTGAACTCCAGCCGTTTCAGGACAATTTTAAACACCGAAAGAAGTATTATCAAGAAGGTTTAAAAAGATTTTTAATCTCCCTGGTCTTATAGACTAGTAGTGTATAAGGTACTGGCTCATAATTAGCCTCTACCAGCTTCGGGAGGCGGCTGGAAAGAGTGGAAATCGTGCCAAACTGTTCTCTCACCGCGGACTAACTCCTATTTGGCCGATTTCCACTCTTTCCAGCCGCCTCCAGAAGCCTGGTAGGGGCTAGCTCATAATTTACAATATCGTTACTGGAAAGACGTAAAACTGCAAAAACACACATAAAACACAAAGAATGGACTGGATCCTTGTATCTGCTTGGAGACTACTCTCCCCCAGCTGGGTTATGTTAGATCATGTTCCACACGTGATCTCGATCGAGGACAAGTTGAAGTTGACAATGCTGTACAAACATGGCAGCATTCTTGCCAAGGGAGGATCGACATAAGGTATCATCCATGGTTGACATTCCGAGTGTCTAGTCTCGAAACTCAGACAGCCGTAGAAAAAGAATGCAAAAATTAAAACCCACAGACGGGTAGCAGACTGGGACACGCTCTGTTTAGGAAAAGTGTTTGTGATTCTTTTCTCTTTTGTCACCCGGTCTCCATTTCTTGTTCAAGTTGTTGCCCGTCTCGGTCAAATTTTCACAACAACTTGACTGCAGTTGGACCTTTGAAGGACCACAGGAAGAATAGCTACATTTGCTGTAAGCCAAGTGTGGATCCCAATAAAGTCAAAGTCAAAGTTGTTTTTAACAGTTCTCCTTCCGCGTCTTTCATGGTCCGTCCCTTTTCTCAGCGACGGTCGTTGCCTTCCGATCTAAAACTACTAGTACTCTTTAAATAAATAGAGGTTATATGTACATGATGCGAGTGAAACCAATCAAATATGACCACCTCCTTGATATGACAAATCATACATGAATGGTACACACTATTATAATATTTATAGTATATAGTACACGTATGTACTAGAGGCAAAGCGATCATCATCTATTATATTATTGAAGTCCAGGGTTTCCTATCCCTCTGCACAAATTATTTGACAGGGAAACTGCTAAGTGTCCTGAAGAATCTATGGTTTTCCGTGTCGTCTACAAATAGTATAATCCTATAGATTTTGGACCAAGGAGCTTTAAAGTTCATCAGGACAAAAGTTTTATGTCGCTCTGCGTTTCACAATTAAACGAGACAAGAGAGTGCGATAAGGTCTTGTATCCGTTCATTCATGAACGCGCTAACAAGAACCACGTGTGGGGACCTAGCCTCTACCAGGCACCGCGGATCGCTGGAAAAATAGTAGAAATCGGCCGAAATAAACCCACGGATTGGATCTTCTCTGGCCGGCTACCTCCCCTGGTATATATTATTATCATATTATTCCTTTATTTCGGCCGCCATTTCTAGTATTTTTCTAGCGATCCGCGGTGCCTGGTAGAGGCTAGTGGGGACCTCTTGCACGGTAAAACTGCACCAACCCAGGGGAGGGGTTGTATTTCTGGACATGCTGGGAGAGCAGTTGCCTCTCTCTGGGTGGTTCAATCGCCATGAATAGTCCCTCTCACACTTCGTTCTGCCCTTTCTATGACCCTTTACTCCAATTTCTATGTAACTTTAGCAATATACAAATCTGTGTTTTACAAGCACCGGTGTTAGAAAAGTTCTCCGAATTTTGACGACTCGTGGTAGCGGCTCTGGAAAATTACGTTAGTTCGATTTAGAGGCTCACACACTAGTATCCTATATCCCATTGAGCTCCTTGATCAGATGTGTCATTTTAGCAAGTGTGTGTTTGTCACAGCTTACAAAAGAGCAAAAGTTGCGATCAACTACTAGTAACCTGTACCAAGGAGGTTCTTGTCTGTATATTTCACAACAACATACACTTGTAGTGGCTTCGTTTATATATCATTATATGATAAGAAAACGATATGTACCACCAAGGAGCTTCAACACGTGCGTAGAAGACATTTTCGTTGACAGTTGCACTTAATCATTTCTATTAAGGTACACAATAAAAAAATAATAAAATAACACGTACCAATTACAACTGTTTACATACAAAAACATAACTTGGCATCCAAAATCTAAGGGGCAAAGGGACAAAACCCAAAATATTTTATATAGACTGGAAAAGCACGTTACCCACCCATCGACCAAGGGGACCTCTGACATGAGTCTGCGGGCTCGGTCCATGCTGGTGCTCCGCTTCTGTAGAGACAACGGCACGGCAACAGCCACCACCACCGCCACGAGAACCAGGACTCCCAAAACTACCAGCAGCAGTCTGGTCCTGCCGGTGGCACTGGAGACGCCCTCGGTCCCTGTTCTCTGGTACGTCGCCATTGTTGGAAAGTTTAGGGGGGCGATCACGCGATATCGGGGAAGGGTGCTGTGCTCCTGTTCTTGGCCGTATCAGTATCAGCGATATATCAGAGGATCAGATACTACCAGATACTAGTATCCAGGCTACAAATGGGCTAGCCAGCTAGACTCCAAGCAGATTTTCCGGCGGTAAAGACGTTACCAACCAATTAAGAAGCTCTGAAGATTTTTAAGTTTTTAACCTCCTGCAACAACGGACTATCAAACTGGCCAGGCAGTATAAAAAAAATACGGCTCTCAGTGGCCAATAATATGAGATGTTGTCACATCGGCGCACCAAATCCGTAGGGTGTTTTTGGCACCCTGACAGACAGATTAGCCTATAAGAGGCACCGGTGGGCGTCACTCCACCGTATAGGTGGGGAAGTCGTGTAAAGTGCCTTTCCCAAGGGAGCTCTCGGTTCTGAGTCCAACGAGTCTAACCGTTGCGCCACCGACGCCACTGCAAAGATTTTTAACCTCCTACAACAACGGACTATCAAACTGGCCGGGCAGTATCAACACGTTAATCAAACAATCATACGCTTGATTGGAGATTACGTAATGAATAATTATAATCAAACTTTTGTTAAAATTTTGTAGTACACGTACAATAAAAAAACAGACCGAAGATATCTAGACCAACAGATTTGGACAAGAATAACAACACGACAATTCACAAGGTAAGAAGTCAGTAATAATGTGGATGCAAATCAAGTGTCAAGGGAAACAAAACGGACAAATGTGTCACAAGTCTACAGACGTTTCTCACCTGCCTGTGATCACAAAAGGTAGGCACTTCACAGGACTTGGCAAAGTGTAAAGCCTTGTCACAACCCGCCGTACGTGCATCTGCGTGCTGTCTACGTGCGAAAACGTGCGAAAACGTAGGGCATCCGTGCGTGGTGAGTACCGCCTCCGTACGGAATCCTACGGATTTGGGAACACGCAGACACGCCATAGAACTTTAAGTGCAAGTAAACCTTTTTCTGCGTGCGGTCTGCGGATTCACCAATCGTACGTGCGACGCGCGTGCCCTGTACAGCCTATGAGCGTACAACGCACGTTTTCAGAAAAACGTAGCCTCCCAAAAAACGTACAGACAAAAAGCACGCACGGCGGGTTGTGACCAAGGCTTAAGAACAAGGGTTTACATTATTAACACATTATTTGTTCTTTTATCTCTACAATGACTGAAAAGCGAAGAGAAGTTGAATTTAACTATTAATTGTTGAACAATTTTTTGTCTGTGACTGGATCTGTTCATCCGAGTGTTTTGTTAACTTGTGACTGTACCAAAATCAAGCTCCTTGCCGGTGGCCCAGTGTGACAATATTTATTTATTTATTTATTTATTTGACTTTCCAATGCACATGAAGTAGCATGGAGGAGAGACAAAACAGGTGCATATATGCACCTCTGCCAGTTGTCTCTCCACATACAAAATACATTATAAAACAGTAATAATACAAAATAGACAATTTAAGTGAGAACATACAATAACATATTTAAGATATATGATAATATAGTGACAACAATAGGGCAGTTATCGCTGCCTTGTGGCCATACAGGTCGTACATCTGCAAAAAGATATCCAGCTGCATGCAGCATCGGTGTCATAGACCGCATTAAACCTGTTATGTAAATGTAACATCAATTGTCTTTTGAAGGTATTTAAGTGTTGTGGCTGAGAGACATTTAAACCCAAAGTTCTCAGACTGACATCCAAATTGTTCCATATGCATACAAGTCTTGGGAAGTACGACATAGCAAACAGTTGTGTTTTAGTTCTAAGAGGTGTTAACATGTGAGATCTTGTGCTTCTCGTGCTTCTCAAAGAAAAAGAAACATATTTCAACATATCTGAGTCGCACAAGTTTGCCATAGACTTAACAAAGAGTACGACGTCGGCCTCTTCTCTCCTGAATGTGAGTGGTAACATACCAAGAGAAGACAATCTGGATTTATAATCGAGATGTTCAGGAACTACGCCAAGAATATATCTGGTTGCCCGACGTTGGATGCCTTCTACAACACTAATCAGATTACGTGATCCAGGGCACCAAATAGAAGAACAATACCCAAGTACACTTCTAACCATAGTTACGTAAAGTGTTTTCCGAGTATCAACACTTGACGTGAAGCCTACAGTGCGTTTTATGAAACCTAACAAAGAGTTGGCTTTGGCTACATTAATATTCAAGACATGTTCATTCCATTTTAAGTCAAATTGTACAGTGACCCCAAGATCTGACATGCTATCAACTATCTCTAACAATGTGCCATTCATGTTATAGCTAGACACGATAGGTTGCTTGGATCGTGAATATGAGCAATAAATGTCGTCATTCATAAAAAAAAGTTGATACAGTTTTTCTGTGTACAGGTATTGAATTGAATAAGAAAAATTCATATTTCTTATGAAACTTGACAAACCATGTATCATTAGTTCTATATGCTCGTACATCTATAACTGCGTCAAGACGCGAGAAGAAGTCGAACAATGTAAATAGTAGACCACATTAGTATGTATAGTTTAAGTATCATTGCTGTATCCTTTTCCTTGTCTATTCATGACCTGTACTTAGCTTGTTAAAGCACATGCGTACAATAAAGGTCTTTGATTCATTGAAAATGATTACGCTACGATGTAGATCATTACTACCATTTGAGTTTATACAAGGCACCGTACGCAAAGGCAAAGGGCCCCTTTCAAGGCGGAACACTTGAAACAGTTGTATAATGAAATGTCCCTGCTTGGGATTGTTTCCCATCCTGACACCTACGCGGAAAGCTGGCTGATCTCACTTGGCGCGAAACTGCTCAAGCTCAACCGGATGTTGGCTGCAATCCTAGATATGGATTACCCAGGAGATACTATGGTTTAGTCTCTACCAGGCTTGGGGAGGCGGCTGAAAAGAGTAGAAATCGGCCAAATAGAGAGATAAGCATGCCAAGGGAGTTTGCCCGTTGAGAGAACATCGCCGCACCCCATTGGCATATCTCTCTATTTGGCCGAATTCTACTCTTTTCAGCCGCCTTCCCAAGCCTGGTAAAGGCTTACTATGATTGGCATGACACTACGAGAGCGGGTCTCCAAGCAAATCCCTTTCGGCGGCAAGACAGTATCCATTGGCCAGAGGAGTTTGTACGGCCACCGACTGTCCGCAGATCCTTCGGTGGCCGTACAAACTCCTCTGGCCAAATGGATACTGGATCTGCTTGGAGATTGCAAGTCTCTTTCTCTCTGAAGTACGGATGGAGAGGGCCTTTGCCGATCTTATGCTGCAGTTCAACCCGAATGTGCAAGGTGCGCAGGTGTACGTGCACCTGTTCCCATGACCGGGAGGACACTTGTACCCCTCCCACCTGTTCCTTTCTCTATCCGCCCGTCCATCCAAACACTTGGCTAAAACTTCACCAGGATAATTCGACAACAGTCAGTGACAATTGTTACAGACGATGCATTGAAAATGTGACCAAAAGCTGAAAAGTCCGGAAACTTGACTAAAATAGAGAGAAGAAAAAAAACGACGAAAATTTACAATTAATCAAACGAAAACATGTATTTGGCAATGTTAAACTTGAAAGTCAGCGATATAACTGAAAGAAAGCGTCAAGAGAAGCGGTAGGTTTTTTTAAAGACGCAATCATCGGGACCAAAAGAAAACTTTATTTAGCCGGCCACAATGACAGCATTCACGTCAGTGCATTCACATGTCTGTCCTTCTCTTTACCGAGTTGTCACCACACGTAGCAACATAAACAAACGTTTTCTGCGGCCTGGATACGGGGTTATAACTAGGACGCACAACACTTGTCTACAGAGTGAAGATTGAGGGAACTGGCATATTTTCTCCGCCAGTTTGACGTGTAATTTTCTTTAATTTCTCGTTGTTGTTGTTGTACAAAAAACATGTCCGAGAAGGTCGCACCAGCCGGCGAGAACTGGCAGCAGCCCCCACCTGCGTATCCGACCCAGGCCCCGCCCGACTCCCAGCCGACCCAGGCCCCGTACAGCCCTCCCCAACCTGCGGTAAGTTACAAGTATGTCGTACAATCATCACACGTTCGCAAGATGGCGGCATGAGCTCTGTCAGCCGTTCAGTTGTCTTGTTCTAAGAAAAGCTACCTTAAATCTAGCCGTGGACGACTCTGGTAACCCTTTTTGCATGATAATGCCGGGTACAGAACATTATCATGCAGAAAGCGTTACCAGAGTCGTCCACGGCTACCTTAAATCCTTGTTGGCGTGTGGTTATCTTTCACAGCCTAGTTGAATTGACGTCATCAAAATTGCAGCGGCAGAGTGCTCAACTCGGAACCAAGAGGTCCCGGGTTCGAGTCCTGACATGCCACCGACCTTGTGCCCTTGTGAAAGGCATTTTACACGACTTTCCTCACTTCGCTCAAGTGAAAATGAGTATTGTGCTATCCTTTATATGTTAGCAGTGGCATAAAGTTGAAAAACGTGAGTGTGTTGTCATCACGTCATGTGATTATATGTTGGAATAAAAAAAATATTTAAAAAAATTGCAAGAGGACCTACGACGAATGTGATCGCGTTTATACTGCGTCACCTACTTTAAGAACTGTGAATGATTAATGAGAAGGATCAATGAAAAAAGAGATGAAATGGGGAAGAAAATATCGCACGTACTGCAAACATGAAAAAATACAGCAGTATTTTACAGGTTATGGATTTGTAAAGAAAGCTGAGCAAATTCAGTTTTCTATAGATGTTTCATCCCGGGCAGCAAAACAAAAGGTTCCCAAAGAACCTCTTCTCGTTTATGCATTTACATGTACTAGAGGTTAGAGAAGGTGTCAGTTTTGTGCTCTTTTTATGTTTTCAGAACTACCAACAGGGCGGAGCAGTACAGTCCACCACTACGGTCTTCGGTAAGCAGCTTTACTCATGGCCATGCCGTGACAAATTATTGTGAGTGACCTTAATATCCAAGCAGATCTCTTTCGGTGTCAAAAAGACAGTATCAAATTGGCCAAGCAGTATCCATTAGCCAGAGAAGGTCGCCGGCTACCGACGGGTAGTGGGGGTAGCGACAAGAAAACTGCCATGTATAAAAAGCTAACGATCATTCCCCCACAACCTCTGCTTGGAGAGTAGGTGAACCATCACCGAACTTTGACATCGGCAAAGATAAGATATACCAGAACTTATACAGTAGTTCGGCTTTTGACATTTTTCAAAACTATAATGCTTGACCTAAGGGTTAAACTCATGTAGTGCAAAAGTAACATTTTAGGACGATACAAAAAGTAAATTTTCTGCTTATTTCTTTACAAAGTACGTAAGTTTACTGAATTAATAAACCCTACTGCATTGCCCGTTTGTTCTGTAACAGCGGGGGGTTTATAGGCGAAGGTTCTAGACCTAGGCCTTTTAGCCGAATCGTTAGAGCGACGGGGTTGTAAGCTGGTGCTCGGGTTTAGCGTGGGTTCGATCCCCGGCCCGGGACCAGGAGTGTCTTTCTGTTTCTACTCTCCTAATTCTTACAGTGGTTCCCACACCGGCCCTGGGAGCACTGGCTGAGAGCCACCCCAGGGATGTCGAATTAATTCGGAAGATTCGACGAAAAGGGGGACCAGGAGAGGAAATCTTCATTTTTTTCTACTCTCCTAATTCTTGCAGTTTCTTCAGTTCCCCAGCCCGTACCTGGAGCGGTGGTAGTGACCGCTAACCCCCCGTCCCGCTCCAACCAGCCCGTCCGGCTGACGTGCCCCTCCTGTCACCAGGACGTCCTGACCACCGTGCAGCCTGAGATCGGGATGTTCACCTGGCTCATGGTCGGGGCAGTCTTTCTCTTTGGGTGAGTATTGAATTCGCATTCGCATACCAGTTTGATTTGTTGGTTCTCGGATTTTTTTCTGATTTGCCAAAAAAAAAATAAGATTCTAGTTCTGAATCAACTAAAAAATTTTGCCCCCAACAGTTGAGGAAAGTCCTTTTCTTCCTAGTTCCTACAGTTTTTTCATCTGTCAATGCAGTGGTTTGATTAGAAGTTCAAAATTCATATAGTTTTTAAAAATATTTAAAAATATTAACCCAGCCTTTTGTGTTTACTTCATGTTTCCTATCGTAGTACTTTGGGCTTTAAAAGGATGCCTAGACCGTTTTTTTTTTTTTTAGCCCTGTCCCTTCAAATTTTTATTTAAAAAATCCGAGAACCAATAAATAAAAATGGCGTGGCCTTATGAAACTTAACAAACCATGTATCATTAGCTCAATATGGTCGTACATCTATAACTGCCTCAAGAAGAGAGAAGAAGTTGAACCTGTAAATAGTAGATCACATTAGTATGTATAGTTGAAGTGTTACTGTTGTATTCTTTTTTCCCTGTTTATTCATGACCTGTACTTAGCTTGTTAGAGCACAAACGTTTATTCATGACCTGTACTTAGCTTGTTAGAGAACAAACGTACAATAAAGGTATTTCATTCATTCATTCATTCATTCATTCATTGATGTATATACCACTGTTACAACATTTGCCACAGATTATTTGCTAGCTATAGCTAATAACAAGAAAATACAATACTGGAGTTGCACAGTCGAAAATTTGGGTACATACAATTTCTTGTGTAGGAATTGAAATCACAGACTGACACAGTTTAAACTTGCTACACGTCCACCAACACAAATGGACTTATAAGCGATGTTGGCAAGTAGATTCAGACGAATCAAAGAGACTATGGTTTCACTTACTTATTCCAAAGAACTTCGAGAGAACTACAAGAAACATCTGGACAGAGCACAATGTGCACAAACTTAATGTGGCAATTCATGTACTAAAATCAGTGAGAAACCTACAATAATGACTAGAACAAGAAATCTGAGGCAACTCTTCTAAAAGTTTACGGAGGTGTGACATCTTCATCTTTTTCTAGGTTTGCGTTTCCACTGGTGTGGCTGGGTTGCTGCTTCATCCCTCTGTGCATCAAGGATTTCAAGGACGTCAAACACACCTGTCCCAACTGCCAAACCCACCTGGGGACCTACAAGCGGGGCAACTGAACACTAAAAATCACCTGACACGATGTCGCTGTGGAAAAGTCAAACCCTTTCCAACATAAAGCTTGATAAAACTGCACTCAGATTGAGTTATGGACACTGGAGTTTTGTTGGGAAGGGGGTATCTGTATCTGTAGAGGCAGTATAACCGCCCTTCGGCGTAACGCACCAGCTTCTGCATCTTTACCTGTATGGCCAGTATAACTGCCCTTCGTCACAACACACCGCTGAGCTTTGTAGACACACAACACTGCAGCAGCTGCTTATATTACACTGAACGACATGCCTCTAAATGTTAGGGTTGTCATAGTGTGTACAATAAAAAACATACAATCTATATTTTTCAATCGTATATTTTGTCGTATGTCAAAAGCGATGACTGTTGTCATAAAAGATCGTAAAAGAAGGCACAGTTGTATCAACTTCAAAAATCAAATGTTTGTTCAAATGCCATGCTTCCTCTTTATTGACCAACTTCGTTCATATTTCTTTACCCGTTCTTACTACTACGTCACCTCTTTCGATGCTCATAAAATAAAAATAAGAAAACTAACTAACTAGTTGTACTAAAAACGTAGCCACCTGCTGAAGTATACTAGTATTGGCCTAGGTGCCATCCGGAATTATTTTAAAAGTTACTTGCTGGTTGGAAAAATGGCAGATCAGCTAGTGCAAGAAGCCCCGTACGTAGCTACAAATATAAACGAGTGGCACCAAGGCTTCAAGTACATGTATATACGTAATCTCGAGTAAGAGGCAACGTCACATCGCTAGCCTCTACCAAGCTTCAGATGCGACTTGAAAGGGTAGAAATCGACCAAATAGACAGATAACATGCCGGGGCAGTGTAATATTCCGCTCAGCTGCAAACTATACATGTACTTCTTAAGCAATTCTTAACCTCCTTGAGCGGACTAACTCTCCTGGCATGTTATCTGTCTTTTTTGGCTGATTTCTACTCTTGCTAGCTGCCTCTGAAGCCTGGTAGAGGCTATCACATCGCCACAGTACCCGATACACAGGACCTATGGCTACACTCCAAGCGTGTCGTCGTACATGTACATGCATGTCAATTAAGGTGCACACCTTTGTGTAAAGAGTCACACGCGGACGGTGTCTTTAGTTACCTGAGGTCATTGAACTTTGAAGGACAAATTGTCGACTGAAATAGGATGCTACTCACCGAACCGGTTAGCGATAGCACCATTCAACGTATTCAAATGACTTTTAAAGAACAATCCACCTACAGTTTTGTCAGGGGTGTATAGAAATATTCTAGGCACTACTGCATGTCAGTATCAGTACTTTCTTTCACCAGAGGTTTCTCAATGTCGTCTTCTTGTATTCTCTCAAATCTTTAGAAATGGTTTATGAATTTCAACGTTAAACAGTATACGAAAAGTGACCATGTTTACAATACATGACACCTTTATAAGTGGACTAGGCCAAGGACAGTTGGGGTATCAGATTTGGGTTGACAAAACCTTTTCCCACCTTATGGTGCCACCACGAATCTTTGTTCACAGCAACAACGTCCCTAAAAGTACTAGTGTCTACTAGAGTGTGTGAGACCCTGTGTAAAATGGCGGGAAGCGATGTGGGTTATTCTAGTCCAGGAGGCACGCGGTTCGTAAAGTCAAGCAACCGCAACATGCTGTTCATCGGGCTGGGTTTGGCGCTGCTGGCCGTCGTGGTGGTCGCCATCGCCGTGCCGCTGGCGCTGAGGCACAAGCGGGACGGCAACATGGACAGGGCGCGGCGACTCATGGCGGAGGTCCCGCTGGTCGACGGGTAGGGAGCCGTTCACTCTGCCACTTACACACTGACTGACAGACTCACTCACTCACTCAGTCTGTCACTCACTCAGTCACTTACTCAGTCAGTCAGTTACTCACATACTCACCCTCTCACTCACACTCACTCACTCACTCACTCACTCACTCACTGTCAGTCAGTTACTCACTGTCAGTCAGTCAGTCAGTCAGTCACTCACTCACTCACCCACTCACTCTCACTCTCACTCACTGTCAGTCACTCACTCACCCAGTCACTCATTCACTCTCTCATTCACTCTCACTCATTCACTCACGCACTCACACACTGACTGACAGACTGACTGACTGACTCACTGTGTGTGCATGTATGTATGTGTGTGTGTGGTGGGGGTGTTACGGAGTGTATGTGTGTAGAAATCAAATATAGCCACAAAATGATATATCCGTTACACCTAAAATGTACCACAGATCATTTACACCAGAAGTAATACTGGCAATGTTGAGGCAGCGTTAACGTTAAGGGAAAAGATCATACAAAATTTCTTCACCAGACAAACAGCAATTGAAATACTTCAACAAGCTTTTACCTGTGGGTGGGGTAGACTAAACCTCCTCTAAATGGCCACTAGAAAGTCTAGACAGGAGTCTACTTATGGATCCACTTATTACGCCATCTGACAGTGTGGATTTCTGGCTCGATGATTCTTTTGTTTCGCGCGGTACGAAAGCATTAGGGATACGCCCTCCATTCCAAATCAACACAGATTGACAAAAGAGAATTGACGTAAATCACTGTAGCAAAATTTCGCGGTCTGAGAAAAACGGACACGTACGTTCGCGGAACTGTATGGCGAATTATTTCGCCATACAGTTCGAAAGAGTTCAGAAGCTGTGCCTCAGGATTTGCGGAGTTCCCCATGGATACTTGCCCACTCTCGAGTCCAGGAGGAGGGAGGCATCACTGAGAGAGCTAAAACGGATTCTACAAGACCCCAGCAACCCCTGCAATGACTTTATCCCACCAAGAGAGAACACTGTATACAATCTTAGGAAGAACAGCAATCAGTTTAAGCTCCCATTAAGCCGATCGGACAGACACAAAAACTCCTTCATTGTGAGAGCCGTAAAAGACTTGTGATGTGTATTAGACATATATATATATATTGTATTTTAAACTGAAATTGTACTATTTTAACCTACGTGTTCTTGATGTTGATTTTTAAATGATGATGATGTTTTTAATCTATTGCGATGATGTTTGTATGATGTATAATTGTAAAATGTCAATGCAATTCAGACGTGCCCGAAGCACTTCGGCACGTCTGCCATGTTGATATTTGATAAAGATTTGATTTGATTTGTTCGCGGTAATGATAGATTCGCGGTGCAGAAGAAACAAAAAAACGCGAATATAAAAGCACCGCATATAAGTATACTTTCAAATTTCGCGCCTGACCACCCCTAGTAAATGTGTCAGGGCCGCCGGATGGCATATTTACGATAAAAGGTCACGAGAGGTCGAGTAAATATGTAGAAAACTTGCCAGTCACACCGGGGGCGGAATTGGAAATGTTGGCGGGAAACACACCAGTGTCGGACGCCGTAGGCTTCAATGTGAAAGACTCGAGAATTCGGTACATCAGACCAGGTGTGGACCCGAGTTTTAAGCCACGATGGCGGTTCAGGACGAAGTACGTGGTGACTTTCGGTGTTCTGCTGGTCTCTGTGGTCGCTGTGGCCGTTGTGGTGCCGTTAGACTTAGAGCTGGCCACACACATGGACAGAGCACATAGACTCATGGCAGAAGTACCGCTAGTAGACGGGTAAGATTTTCTATATCTGTATCTGTATAGCTGGTATAACCGCCCTTCGGCGTAACACACCAGCTTCGCAGTCACTCAGCGCGGCGGCAGCTGGCTATATTACACCGAACGACTTGTTACACTTAATCTTTGCACATTTGATTGCAGGCGTTGTTTAAAGCTTTCTAGTGATGATGGTCCTACTGTGCTTGGTGGCAGCGAGTTCCAGTCTACGATAGTTCTGGGGAAATACGAGTAATTTCTGTATCTCACAACACAATCAACCTTTCTACATTGCGCGAATTTTCAGGACTTTCGACATGTAGATCTACTCCAAATGTACCGTTATCAAACCTCTGATACGTGTACGAGAAATATCAAGAAAGTGTCTATAAAGCTTGACAACATTTCGTCATACGCCGACATTAGTTTGCGAATGTTGTCAGCAAATTAAAAAAATGCAGCGCTAACGTTCGTAAGTTCTGAAAATCTGTTAATCCTTAGAACAAATGAGGTTAGAAAACAGTCTACAACCATGAAACAGGTTAAGTTTTAGTAGTAGTACGGAGTTGACCTTTGGACACACTGGAGACTAATATTTGTCGCAGCACGGGAGCTCCTTTACCCACAGGTGTGTTCAGCCCTATAGTTGACTCGGGTAAACATTTGTATAGGGCAACAGGGTACCGAAAGTCTTTGAGTTAAAGTGACAATGCGATGATATGTATATAGCCCAAAAGAAAGACCTGGCCTGTGCATATAGGCAGGCAGGTAAAAGAAAGACATCATTTGCTGCTATAGCAATGTGTTCTATGGCGCAAAACGAACGCCTTGTGAAATGTTCACAGATTTTATGATCCCTCTTTAGACCTGAATCTGGCCGTAATATACAGTAGTTTTAAATTGCTAGGCCGGTGGATACGTCATACGACCAATCAAGGTGTTAAAGTAGTAGGAGATGATCCAAACGGTTCATTTACGAGCTCAAGGTTCCTTGTTATGTTTACCGAAGGAAAACATTGTTTTACTCAGTTTCTTCCTCTTCTGTTCCAAACACTAACCTCTGACCTGGCCAATGACATGATTTGTTAACGTCTGTCACCATGGTGACCGGTGTTGGGTTATATAATGTTGCAATTTCATGGTCTGCTCTACTCCTGTGACCATATACTCATGTATGTGAATGTGTAATGAGTAAAAATTAAAGTGAATGTGAAATGAGTAAAAATTAACAGGGCAGACCATGTCCGAAGGTAAACATTATGCATTTGCTTTGCAAATGTTATTTCCCAGAGGTTCACTCGGAATGTGCTGCAAGCATTTCGACTACCAGTATCTTAGTCTACAGATAGTTTTTCAAAGTTTACTAATGTGCAAAAGTTCCATTCTTGCAGACATAATGACTGGCCGTGGGTGATCTACCAGAATGTCCAGAACAGACTGAGTCAGGTGAACTTGGCGCAGGACTTGAGGCCGCTGTTCAAGTCGTGGTTAAACGTCTCCCACACGGACATTCCCAGACTGCGCCAGGGCAAGGTGGGCGGACAGGTACGTGGTGGGATCACTTTACGTTTGGGACCGCATGTGTAATATTGCATCAGGAGGAATCACTCTACGTTTGGGACCGCATGTGCAATATAGCAGCAGGAGGAATCATTCTACGTTTGGGACCGCATGTGCAATATAGCAGCAGCGACACCTAGCGCCGAAGAACAGCGCAGTGGGTCGTGTGGCGTAACGGTAGAGTACTCGACTCGGAACCTAGAGGTCCCGGGTTCGAGTCCTGACATGCCACCGGTCTTGTGCCCTTGGGAAAGGCACTTTACACGACTTTCCTCAGTTAACCCGAGTGAAAATGAGTGTTGTCCTGTTCCGTATCTGTCATCTGCGTTGGAGACGGTATAGAATAATTTGATATAACTTGAGTGTGCCGTCACCATGTCCAGTCATGAAATGTTGGAATAAAAAACAAACAAAAAACAAGAGTTCCGAGATCTCATACCTCCATGAAATATGGGCTTGCTTTGTCATACTTCATTTCAACATGTCTTCATTAATTATGCAAATGACCTCTACATTAACATAATATATGTATAGGGGTGTTAACCTTTAAGTAACTTACACATGTCACGAGATATAATGTTACCATCATTCACCAATAAGGAGTCACAGAATTATCACATTGATTATGCAAATTAGGTCATCATTTGCATAATTGGCATCTGTTGATGTTCCGCCTGCCACAGATTAAATAGATTACATGTATAAAAGAACTATTATATAAAACACTGTAACTGTACAATTTCCTTCTTAATTATGCAAATTAAGTCCTCATTTGCATAATTTACATTTGGTTATCTACAACTCTCTAAAAGCTACCTACACACCAAAAATGATGAAAATATGTTGTTCCTATCTGGACTTATTGTCTTTTAAAGATTTCGCCAGAAAGTCCCCTGCAGTTCCAGAACAAGCTGCTAGGGGGACCAAACCCACACCACTTATTCCTGACAGGAAAAGCTATTTGTCACCAAAAAGTCAAGACCATAGCATGTTCAGGACAAAAGATACAAAAACCGGAAGTTCTGCTGCAATACCAAGGTCATCCACCAGGAGGCCCATACATGTACTCGACCTTGACCTTTGTCTTCCTAAGACTTATCAGCATACCAAATATCATCACAATCCACAAAGGCGTTCTGAAGTTATGCTGACTTCAAAGTTGCGGAAACACACACAGACAGACAGACAGACAGACACACACACACAGACAGACACGCCAAAAACAATACCTCCATTTTTCATGGAGGTAACAAAACAAAACAAAAAAAGCATTGCAAAAGAATCCATTAAGCATGCGTTCCGTTTCTTGACGTGTGCCTTTACGGCTGATTTTATTCCAAAAGTTTTTCTTCAAAAATATGTTCATAATTTTCAAGCTTACTACAAATTTCACAGATAGGACTAATCCGACTATAGATGTTTCCTGGCTCAAACCCGGTTGTGTTTCTGCAGTTTTGGGTGGCGTTTCCTCACTGTGACTCTCAGTACAACTCAAACCTGGTTGTGTTTCTGCAGTTTTGGGTGGCGTTTCCCCACTGTGACTCTCAGTTCAAAGACGCGGTCCGCTGGACACTGGCGCAGATTGACGTCATCAAACGGTTCGTGGAGAAGTACCCGGATGTGTTCCAGCTCGTCACAACTTCCGAGGGTCAGTCAGGCATAGTCTCCTCCAGACTCCTTTGCAGGCCAAATAAATAGTAGAAATCGGCCTAAAAAAAAGAAAATGGCCTGGAGAGTTGGTCGGCCATGGAGGGTCCAATTTGCCTGCACGGCCTGCTAACTCCCCTGGCCAGTTACATTCTTTTTAGGCCTATCTCTAGTATTTATTTAGCCTGCAAAGGAGTCTTGTGGAGACTAAGTCAGTCATATATTGTCGGAGATAAGTCAATCAATATATCGTTAAATGGATCGAAAGAAGAATGGATAAATGTATAGAAACAGAAAACGGTAGGTATCGGACCAAAAACGGCATGCTACGACTAATTTTTCTTCTGACATGCCCTTTCCCTGAGTACTGTACTCAAAGAAATTTCACATATTTTTGTCTCGTGTTTTAATTAATATTCTATATGGCCGGCGGTGACGGTAATATAAGGTTTATTTGCTTGGGTGCGTCTCCACTAATTGTTTGAAAGTTGAAATAAAACATATAATTTTCAAGAAAAACACTATCAAGAACACTAATCTCTTATCTTTCGAGGAATTATTATAGCAGAACTAGAATGTTTTTGCCACTTATGTTTTTGAAACTTTGAATGTTTTTAATACTTTTTTGATCAAGGAATATGGGAAGCCTTTCGAGCTGGGAAAATCGGAAGTTTGATCGGAGTGGAGGGCGGGCACGGCCTCGGCAGTAGTCTGGCCTCCCTCCGCATGTTCTACGACCTCGGTGCCCGGTACCTCACCCTCACACAGGCCTGTAACACACCGTGGTAAGAAGAACTCATCTGTACACAGGAGAACTTTATCGGCATAACAAAAGTACATCAAATTTCGTAAGGTCCATAAATAAGCATACAGACAATGGGAACAAAAGAATTGACCTACGTACAAGACTATGATGAACCATGAACTTATACTTATACTACTTGTTCTACATAAGGTCTAAAATCCTTTGACATAATTACCTATTTGTACACAGTAATGGTTATTACCCTCTAGAGTGACGTTGAAGTGAAACAATTGAAATAAACGCTAACATGATTGGATCTTGGAAGCTTAAAACTTAATAAAAGACACATATACCTAACGTCTTTCTCTAGGAGATAGTTGGCAAAGATGTGTACTTGATGCATTGTAGAGCGGTCTTGTGTCAAAGAGTGTCAAAATTCAATAATGTTTATATTTCAGGGCCGACAGCTCTCTAGAAACAGGAAAAGCTAACCCAGAAAATAACGGACTCACTGTCTTTGGAAAGGTGAGAATGTTCTTTCTATGATGTATCTTTGATGTAAGGAGAATTCTACGCCAAGAATTCACAGCAAAAAATCCATTATGTAAAGGTTCCGTTTCTTCCTTCACGTGTACCTTTACGCTTGATTTAAGGTGTTCGTAAAGATAATATTTTAATTATTGCGTACTCACCACTGTTGAGTAGGTACGTAAAACTTCGTAACATAATAGTACATATAGTAGAGGAAAACGGTTCACACGAATTGTTTAACAGACAACACTTCATTCTCGAAAAAAGAATAAACCAGTTGGTTACGTTAGGTACTGAGTAGTGATTCGTACTTTTCCTGTCTTACATATTAGCTGGTCGTGAAGGAGGTAAACCGACTGGGTATGTTGGTGGACCTGTCTCACGTGTCCTTTAAGACCATGCACGACGCGCTGGACGTGACGCAGGCTCCCGTCATCTTCAGTCACTCCTCGGCCTACGCGCTCTGCAACCACACCAGGAACGTGCCGGACGACGTGCTCAGGAGAATGGTGGGTGTTGTGCAGAGATCTGGGCCAAATAAAGTCGTAGACCAGTATGCTCTTGGACACATGTTGATAGTTGGAATCAGTTTTACCAAATCGTAAAAGAAGACGTAAAAGAAGCCGAGTCTATCTGATAGATGCCAGCGTGCTAGCTGTTGTCGTCGATTGACGGCTACTTAATGATGGGAAAAATTGCGAAGGTGTTCCACAGGGCACCATTTTGGTCCCCCTATTACTAGTATACATTGTGTTGATGCCTAATGATAGTGTCTGAAATAACTAAACTAAACACATATTCTGAGATTTTTCGTGTCACGCGTACTTTATAATCTATTATGTTTATTTCGAAATATTACTTGCAGAAATGATAAGTAATGCAAAGTAATGACATTTCTTATCAATTTTTTTTCAGAAAGACAACAAGGGCGTTGTAATGGTTAACTTCTACAACCCCTACATAAACTGTGGTCCAAACAAGACTCCTGTCACCAACATCAGCCACGTGGCAGGTACTGATCTAAAAACTGTGTTCAAGCATTTATTGAGTCCAACTCTTTTGAGTATAGCAATTTTAGAATTTGAGGTATGAAAGAGTGGATTAATAACCCGCTGCCCCTATGATGATGCTATGTAACATTTACCCCACAACGCTTTAGGATTTCAATAGGATATATGATGAAGACATTGTAGTTAGTTAAAACTGATATGACGCTGTGTTTTGTAGACCACTGTGACTACATACGGGATGTGGCAGGAGAAGACCACGTGGGGATAGGAGCTGACTATGACGGAGTTAACGAGTATGTACTGTTACACGAAGTAAAATCTAGACGCTAGAACCCCCTAGGCCTGTACTAGCCTTTGAAACCTAAGCTCTGGGGGGCTCCCTAGATAGTCCGACCACGGCCGGGTGGCGGACTAACTAGGGAGCCGGCGAAAAGCGAGGTTCAGTCAGGCTACCCCTGTACTCTTTGTATTAGTATAGTCCATGAATATTGAGTAGCAAGACTCCAACAGACCTAACGTCAACAGAATCAGCCTCTTTCCCATCTGGCCTGGATTTAGCAAACACACGCTTGTACGTTACTAACACTATATAGAATAAAGCAGCTGAAAATGCAGTGAATCTGTCTGGATGTCCTGACCAACCAACAAAGAACGTACAAAGTAACATGTACCACTGTCGTGTGGTCAATATTGCTTCAAATTGCACAAAATTGTACCTGCTATCTTAGTCGTGTTGAGTTGACAAAGAGGTCTTCATTGTGTAATGGTAGCCTGAATTCCAGTCTCCTTGGCTTTAGTCCGCTTCCAACGGTCGTTTGGTGGGGCCATGCAGTAATGACTGGATTTCAGGCTCGTCCAATTAATGGGAAATTAATATGTAATTGCGATAGATAACTGTCTACAATGATGCCGAAAAGAAACAGAATGGTACAACTTTTCATCAAGTCGTTCTTTGTGTATTAATTACCTGTTCTTATACCAAATGTTTCTTTTGTACTTCTGTACTGCACTTATCCCGGGGATGAATTTGCAACTGAACTTTACTGTAGATCGACACCCAGTACGAATGAGTGCGAAATAAAAAAATATCTATGTATAACATGAACGCTTGCATCGTCGCTGGTGACGACATATATTGTACAGTATGCACTGTTTTGCCATGAATCTACAGTCAAGTATCTTATTTTTTGTTTAGAGTACCAGAGGGCCTCGAGGACGTCTCCAAGTATCCCAACTTGATTGAGGAGCTGATTGTTCGTGGCTGGACGGACGATCAGATTAAGAAACTGCTGGGACTGAACATCATGCGTGTCATGGACGAAGCTGCTGAGGTCGGTAAAGCCTAATCTAATGGCATTTTGGTTTGTATATTTCTGTTCAGTCATTATATGTGTTGTATCATTTGTTTAATTTGATTTTCAGTTATACTGATCTCAGTTACCATTTCTCAGTGATGTTACTTGATTGTATAATTTACTTTTATACAAATTGTTTTATGTTTATGTGTCCCTGGGCCCTCTTGGAAATCAACAATTTACTGTTAAAGAGGCCACCCAGGTGTTAAAGATGAAATAAATAAATAAATAAATCTCTACCAGAATAACGCTGGCAATATAGAGCAGAACATCTACCAGGGGAGCTTGGCCGCCTTGGGGTTTGACTGGTCGCGCAGAAACAACCTTTCGCGGCCTGAATCTCCTTTTACTCTCCGTTATGCCGAATTCTGCCATCCGCATTCCCATGGAAATGCCTGGTGGTGGCTAGCTAAAGCTCAAATACTAGTATTAGTCATCAGGTTAGCAAGGGGCTGTGAACTAAGGTTCCTTAATATTCAACAGCCAGCCGGTTTACACATTGGGTATATCATCAACAAAAACAGATGTCTAAACTATAATTTTCAAATGGCACGCATAGTTACTTTTATGTAGTAATTATCATGCTTGCTATGCTAACAATACCAACTATATATGTACATGCTGCCTTACGTTGTACCCGCTACAATTGTTGTGCAATAAAGTTATTCTAAGACTTCTTCTTGTACATGCAGATCGTCTAAATACTTGATGTGTTCTGTCTTCAGGTCGGTCAGACGCTGCGTAGATCCATGGAGCCACTGGATGACATCATTCCTGAGCAGGACGTGGCCAACCAGACGTGCAGAACTGTCCGCACCTGATCAGGATGTCTGGTCCATCCAGAACCGTGCTTCATCCAGAACAACGGTTCTGGATATAGTTCACGCATATCCAGAACCGTGCCTGAGCTCAACTCTGCGTTTGTGGATACGAGGAGACTAATAGTATATCCAGAACTGTGCCTACCTAGTTCTATGCCTGAATGGGCTATTGTAGTTTATATTTGTCGCTTTGTTGCATACATCAACATATTAACATGCTGGCATTTTCTAAACAAAACATATGTACATGTATATCATACTGAGTAACATTATAAAAAAGTGATACATAACATTGTATTTAGTGACATTTGATCTGATCTTGGTTGGACCGACTGATCATGGATAACCTTTGAGCTGACCTGGAACTGACTAGTGACCTCACCTTGGAAACACTCGTGGGTGACCTTTGACCTGACCTTGGGTTGGTCTGACGGATGGATAAAGTTTGACCTGAACTAGTGTTGGTCTGACTGATAAGTAACCTTTGACCTGACTTCGGGTTGAACTGACTAATGGCTAACCCTTGACCTGAACTAGTGTTGGACGGATTGATGGCTAACCCTTAACATGAACTTGTCTTGGACGGACTGATAGGTAACCTTTGACCTGACCTAGTGTTGGACGGATTGATGGCTAACCCTTGACCTGACCTAGTGTTGGACTACTGATGGCTAAACTTTGACCTGAACTTGTGTTGGACGGACTGATGGCTAACCGTTGACCTGAATTAGTGTTGGACGGATTGATGGCTAACCCTTGACCTGAACCTGTGTGGGACGGATTGATGGGTAACCTTTGACCTGAACTAGTGTTGGAAGGATTGATGGCTAACCCTTGACCTGAACTAGTGTTGGACGGACTGATGGCTAACCCTTGACCTGAACTAGTGTTGGACGGATTGATGGCTAACCCTCGACCTGAACTTGTGTGGGACGGACTGATGGGTAACCTTTGACCTGAACTAGTGTTGGACGGATTGATGGCTAACCCTTGACCTGAACTTGTGTTGGACTGACTGATAAGTAACCTTTGATCTGACTTAGGGTTGAACTGACTAATGGCTAACCTTTGACCTGAACTTGTGCTGGACGGATTGATGGCTAACCCTTGACCTGAACTTGTGTTGGACGGACTGATGGCTAACCTTTGACCTGATCTAGTGTTGGAGGGATTGATGGCTAACCCTTGACCTGAACTTGTGTTGGACTGACTGATGGCTAACCTTTGACCTGATCTAGTGTTGGACGTACTGATGGCTAACCTTTGACCTGAACTTGTGTTGGACGGACTGATGGCTAACCGTTGACCTGAATTAGTGTTGGACGGATTGATGGCTAACCCTTGACCTGAACTTGTGTTGACCGGACTGATGGCTAACCTTTGACCTGAACTTGTGTTGGACGGACTGATGGCTAACCGTTGACCTGAATTAGTGTTGGACGGATTGATGGCTAACCCTTGACCTGAACTAGTGTTGGACGGATTGATGGCTAACCCTTGACCTGACCTAGTGTTTGACGGACTGATGGCTAACCTTTGACTTAACATAGGATTTGACTAACTCGTAGCTAACCTTGATTTTAATGGGCTGATTGCTAACTTTCATTTATAGACTGTGATAAAGTGGGGCGGGGCAAGTAGAAGGTTGGTTAAGAATGAACTAACATTAATCCAAAATCCTTTGTGGGAAGATTTGGACAGAACTGCCGTTTCCTAAACTACTGTCTAGAGGTCCATCAATTAATGAAACCGGGAGCCACAATTTCAAGTCACAGTTAGACCATTGTATTGTTCACCGATATCAATGATAATAATACAACATTCAGAACTATCAGTTATCAATTGGCAAGATTGTCAACACACAAAATACTTCCCTACAACACTCAGACCATGTCTCATTATTGACTTGAACATCTTTCTCATACTTTCCAGAACAGCAAGGCATTTAGGAACAAAATTCTTCATCTTCATCCTTATAGGAACCTTTCTAGATATGAATGCATAAGAAGTACATAATATACATCAACCAGTTTTTAAATACATTACAGAAGTCACTTTGTTGTTGCATGTTTGCCTCACCTGTAAAAACATACAAAATTTGGTAAGGGCAACAGAAATTCATCTATAATTAAATGTAGTCTGTATAACATAATCAAAAGATGAACCTTCGTCACGTTACGTTGAATAATTCAACTATCTCCAGCTTTCCTCATGTTCTGGTGTTTCCACAACAACTGAAATGAACAGACAAGCTTTACAACAGCAGGTCTAAATGAGCATCGAGCTCAAGTCATTCTAGACTGGGAACATACAATCATACAATACATGTACAAAGCTTACGAAACTATATACAGTTTTCCAAACGTCAAAACAGAATCGTTGTCCATAAACATAGTCCAATTCCATGCCGGGTTTGATCTCCAATCCTTGTTGTAAGCCACAGGTAACAGTTTCTCTTTTATCAAATGTCTGGAACCAGATGTTTGTCTGTTAGTGTTACAATACTTGAAGTACATACTTGTACACTATTGATAGGAATATGTTCATATGATAATGTTTAGACATTTAAACATTGTGATGCCTGTTCAGGTATTCAGTAAGTCTTCCAGGTTTGCTTCAAAGTGTTCTGAGAACTAGGATTAAAATGGTTGATGTTTTGTCCCACAATAAGGCGTAAGCGTTGTTGTATGTGGTAAAGTATTTAGAAAACTTCTTGAGCTCTTGCCTTAAACATAGGGCCAAAGAAGTTCTAACGAGGTCTCAGACGGTAGAAAGTTTTGTATCCTTTGGGGAATTTTTGTAACATTTTTTCCATGATCAGGTGCGTCGTGGTTCTGCTGACACGTTAGAGTTGACGTATGTGTGAATCCGTGGAAGTGGATCCGGATTTTTCTCTGTCTGAGGCATGTCCGGGCCTTGTGGGTGTGGTGACACGTTAGAGTTGACGTACGTATGAATCCGTGGAAGTGGATCCGGAATTCTCTCTGTCTGAGGCATGTCCGAGCCTTGTGGGCGTGCTGACACGTTAGAGTTGACGTACGTGTGAATCCGTGGAAGTGGATCCGGAATTCTCTCTGTCTGAGGCATGTCCGAGCCTTGTGGATGTTCTGACAAGTTAGAGTTGACGTACGTGTGAATCCGTGGAAGTGGATCCAGAATTCTCTCTGCCTGAAGCATGTCGAACCTTGTGCATGTGCTGACGTAGGTTGTCCTTTGTAGGTTGTCGTAGGAGGCCCCGTGGTTGTCGTAGCAGGCACTGCGGTTGTCGTAGGACCAATGGTTGTCGTAGGAGGCCCTACGTAGGTTGTCGTAGGATGCCCCATGCTTGTCGTAGGATTCTCCACTGTTGTCGTATGAGGTTCCACGGCTGTCATAGAACAACCTAGGGTCGTCGTAGGAGGCCTCGTCGGTTGTTGGCGCGGCGGACAATTCCAAGCGGTGTGGCTGTGCTGAGATGTTGCAGTTAATGTAGGTGCGAGTCCGGGGAAGTGGGTCCGGAATCATGTCTGCCTGACACATGTCCGATTCTTGTGGATGTGCTGACACGTTAGAGTTGACGTATCTGTTGGTCCGTGGAAGTGGATCCGGGATGTCTTCTGCTTGAGGCATCTCTAAGCCAGAGTGCCGTTTTAGGCCGTTCAGATCAAGGTAAATGTTGGGACCTTCGACGTTCACCTCTTCGTCCATCCCCAAGCTTCGCGGGTCGTAGGAGGCTCTTCCACTTGTTCTTGGCAGGGTAGCCGTCCCCAAACGTTTGGGATGTACTGAGACGCTTGAGTTGACGTCTTCTGCTTGAGGCATGTCTGAGCCAGAGTGGCGTGGTGGGCCGTTCAGGTCAAGGTACAAGTTGGCGCCTTCGACCTGCGAGTCGTAGGAGGCCCTGCGGTTGTGGTAGGAAGCCCTGCGGTTGTCGTAGGAGGCTCTTCTGCTGCCACAGGATGCACTGCGGTTTCTTCGCGTAGCAGACATGCCTGAACGTTTTGCCTGTGCCGACACGTTAGGGTTGACGCGCCTGTTGGTCTCGGCAGGTCCGGTCGGGACGTCTTTTGCTCGAGTCGTGGCCGTGCCTGGTGGGTAGTAGTGAGAGTCGCTGGCGGCGATGCCTGGCTTGTCGGATCGCGGAGGTGGAACTGGGGCATTTCCCGCCTGAGCTGTGCCCGAGCCCCCTGGCTGTGACGTGGCCCTGGAGTTGGCGAGCCGGCTAGGTCCTGTCCGAGGGTCTGGGGACGCCGAGGTCGCACCTCTTGGTCCCATCACGTCTGCGTCGTACATGGGGTTTTCCAGACGCGACGTTTCCGCATACGGAGTAATGGATGCGTCGTCCGGGATGTCATCGTTCGCCTGTTGAGGAGGTACAGGGTTCCCAGTCGTGGGGGCTGCGGCCAGTGGCTGGAGGTTTTGCAGCGGTATGCCTACGATAGCGACTGCGTTGCCGTGTAAGTATTGGCGCCTCTCTTGTCGCTTCTTGTAGCACTTGCGGCCAGCTGCTCTTACCATGATCAAGAAACATCACGACCCACGAGTCCGGTTATTATGTAGAGAAACACCATCGGCATGGTATGCAGTGGGTTCTCAGCTGGTGGGTTCGCGCCATCTTGCTGGCCGTTCTTGGTCGTGGCTTTACTCTTGTTTTCTTTAACCCTTCCGTTCTGCCGGGTAGGTTTGAGGGTGAAGACTGTTGTCATCACGGTGCGCCGTTCTGCCTTATCAGCTGCCGGAGTGATGCCATCCTGCCGGGGTTTGTTGGTCTTGGCTTGGCCCATGCTTCCTGCTTCAGCTGCCGGAGTGATGCCGTCCTGCCGGGGGTTCTTGTCCGGAGTTTTGGCGACCCTTTCCGTCACCCTTGCGTTCCGCTGGGCAGTTGTTAAGGTGTAGGCGGCCGCTGTCGTCACGGTGTGGTCGTGCCCCGGGTCTTGTTCACTTGATTTGGTCAGCGGCAGATCTTCAAAGACGCTTCCTGTTGTTGCGGACTTCACGACGCACCGGAAGCTGCCCCCCGTCCAGCACCGGTAGGCTTGCCGGTTCATCTGGAGGGTGGAGGTGGACATGCCGATGTAGGTTAGGGTGGGGGCGTCTCTTGGGAGCACTTGTCCCCCTTCAGGAGACTGGGTGGTGGGGTACTCGTGCTCCAGGCGTGTGGTCACCGTGCCGCCGCATCGGTCTTGTGCCTGTCGGTCTCCAACGGCCCTCCCTCTTGGATCCATCCACTCGATCTCTGGTCGCTTCTCCCAGAAGACCTCACACACGAGAGTGGTTCCGTGGTCTCGGCGTGACACCTTGGCTGCGGGTGGCCGGCACGGCATCTCTCCCCTCGCAACGTCATCAACCTTTCTCCCAGAGAGGCCCGGGGGGTAGCTGCATCGCATTCCGTCCCGATTTGCGAAACAAAGAGAAGACGGTGAAGCCCGCGACAGCGCACAGGTGCAACGGAAGGGATTTTCATGGATGTAGACATGCCTTCGATTTCTGCACATGACAAAAAGGGACTCCGCGGAGATGGTGGATATCAGGTTGTTGTTCAAGTTGAGACGGAAAGAAGTGCTCTTGGATAATCCCTGTAGCCATTCGGTGCCGAGGAACGATATCTTGTTGTGATCCAGGGAGAGCGTGAGTAGCCTGGACAGACGGTCGAACGACTTCCCAGCGATGTGTGAGATGTTGTTGTAGCTGAGGTGCAGAGCCCAGAGTCTTGTCAGACCTGAGAAGTGCCTTTCTTCGACAACACGAAGCCGGTTATGCCTCAGATCCAGATAGCCCAGCTGCCTCAGTGGCTGGAAAGCATTCTCCTTGATTCCTTCGATTTCATTCCAAGACAGCGCGAGCTTCTGTAGCTTGGTGATTTCGCCAAACCAGCTTCCAACGGTTTTGATGGCGTTCTTGTCCATGGATAGCGTCAAAATTCCGGGCACATGTGCGAATGCTTCTCTTCCAACGGTACGGATGTTTCCGGGCCCGAGGATCAGATTGCGGAGCTGAGCAAGGCGGGGGAGTGGTTTCAGCTCGCCGCTTCTGTCGGAGTGCCCCGCCACTTGCAGCTTCTTCAGATCACCTGGGAGACACCCGAGTGGATTCTCATCGGCCATCCCGGTCGTGTTGCACGTGGCACAAGGCTTCGTGCCTCCACTCGCGACAATCATGATCCCCCCGAGCCTAGGGCAAGAACCAGTGCGGCTTACCACACAGAGCCTAGCACAGGGTAGACCGGCCTGACTCGGGCCAAAAGCGAGTAGGAACAGGACAAAAAGGGACAGCTTCAAGCCAGCCATTGCAGATTCGTTGTAACTTTCTACAACACATATAACCAACCCTGACACCACAGATGTTTTAGGATATACTTATAAAGCTACGAAGAGAGTCCTTAAACAAACTATAAAGCTATATTAAGTTCTGCAGAGTTCTTGCCCTATACTTCTGGTCATTCAGGCCAAACCCCTGCCTTTTCCAGGAGCCATGTTGACCGTCCGGTATCCTTATGCTGAATCAACCTGTAAGATACAAAGATTCATCATGTAAGTCAGTGTTGTATCCAATACCGACTCCTAATACTT